TGTGTGTGTGTGTGTGAGGCCTCGTCCCACTTATCTCATCCATCAGAGAATTTCACTACTCCGTCTGTCACTCAGCGATCCCTCACTGTCACCCAGACTACAGGGATGGAGCAGCCTTATCATCTATCCTGTTGTTATATATATATATATATATGTGTGTGCGTGAGCATCCGTCTGGCAGCCAGTGACACGTACTGCTGTTGATGTCTCAGTTGGTGTCAGCAGCTCCACTTTTCATCCTAAATGTGTCTGCAGCGGCGGCTGAGAGCCTTTACAAGGCCATCACGCTTAGATCTTTAAACAGTTTAAAAGGCCTCCACTGGTGACATCATCACATTGCGAAACATCCCTGAACAATGATCCCATCAGCCGGCGAGTGAATGAAGCCTGGCTATAGTGTAACAATACAAAATACTTCAGTTATCTTTAAAGAGTCCAAGCATGGTCATCTCTAAACCTTCATCTATCTGAGGGTCATTTGTTCCTTCTTTATCATGTGAGGAGTTTCTCCTTCGAGCATCTGAACTTTTATTATGTGATATTTTTTCAGGCGTCTATTATACCTTCTACCATGTCTGCCTTAAAAAACATGGTGCCATTACACACGGCCGTCCACTGTGTTTACTTTCATTAAATCACCTGCAGGCTGACACCAGGCTGCTACAAAACGACCACACACACCTCTACACACATCAGACCGGTCGGTTATCGCTCCGTATTCTGTTGTTTATGGGGGGAGACGTCAGCTCAGCGGGCCTCATTCGTCCCCGTGTGTCATTGCCTCCTTTCCAGCTTTCTTCTTTAGCAACAGTGGCGTCTTCATGTTTTCTTCTTGAAATGCATAACAGTGTAAAGGTGTCACATTTTACAATACGATGTGACAAATTGTATGAAATACAGTAGAATGAATTATCTATTTCTATCATAATTGTACAAATTAGACACAGCACCACATATCTGCCTAGATAGAAGGTGCACTTGGAGATGCCCAACCCCTACCGCTTTGCACTTATTGTTGTGCTTACGCGATTAAAATAGGGCCCTGTAGGTCCTTCATATTTCCCATTTTTCTTTTTTTGTGTGAAATTAACATGTGTAATGAACAATATTATAGAAACAAAACTAAATCCCAACTGTGTCATGGAGGGAATTCTGCTGCTGGTAGATAAGATTCATTAGGAAAAACACATAAAAAGTGGAAATTAGCACCACACAGACAAGTGGAGGAAACATTAAAGATGATTGAAAACAGAGTCACTACCAGCTTTATTCTCGCTGTCGTGCTGCACACAGAAAAAGGAAAAGTGGAGCAACCTCCTATCAAATTAAATGCAGATAAGTTATCATAACTCATTATCACCAATTTCTAAATGTTTGATAGATACAAGCCCAGAACTACCAAACCAAAACCATGCTATCTAAGACTAATCAGGAGTTCATATTCAAGGCGAACACATTATTGGCTTCTTCCATACAGGCGCATTAACTACCATTTTCATTCTAAAACAGTGGGGACAAGTACAACTGTACATCTGTTTTGTTTTTGTTTTTTTTCTCCCTCCTTCAAGCAGCTCAAGAATGAACACAATCCCATCTGAGGAGGACAGAGTCCGTTTGTAGAGCGCCGCAAAATAAGCCAACACCTTAATAGAGGTTTATCTAACCAGACATGCTAATATTTGTTTCCCATGATTTCCATTTAAATTGACAGGAGTGGTGTGTAAACAGCTGTTATGTGTGTGTTCCTGAGGGGGATGGGATGGGGAAAGAAAAAAAAAAAAAAAAATCAAACACCCACAAAACAGCCATCATCTTAATGAAGGCTTACAGCAATATTTGAGTCTGCTAAAGCATTTGCAAATCTCAATACAAGTTAATTAAAAGTGAAACACAAGAGCCAGCGGCCACCAGCCACCAGCCTCGACCCAATTTTATATCAGAGGAGACGCGCGAGGCATCTTATTTATGTTTCCTAGCCATACCTCGTGCAAGTCACTATATGATGACTTACCCAGGCAGCATTCTGGTGACAGTCTGCTCTCTATTGCCACTCAGTCATCTCGCAGTCCTTCAAAGTAAAAGCATTTAAGTTGCAGATGTAATGGTTATAGCTGAGAGATGCATGTCAAAAATTTTACATATTCTTAAATTTAGTCTTATAAAGAGCCTCCATGTAATTGTTAACAATTAAAGTGTTGAGTCATAAATATGTTGATTATATTATTGATTAATCTTTTTATTATTTAGGCTATGAAATTTAAACAGGTGGAAAAACAGTCCAATGTGACATCTTCAAATTATTGGATTTGTCTGACCAACAGCCCAAAACACAAAGATATTCAGTTGAGACGAGAAAAGCAGCATTATTATCTATCAAGACAGTTAATCAGCTCATCATTTCAGCTCTAGCTTCAAAACAAGTTGACTGACATTTGCAACAAGTAGAATTCGCCCTGCAGATTCTCTAACACTCTGCACTCGAATGAACAACGCACAACGGACTTATAATGCAAAGACCTCAGTGTGACCTTTTTAAATAAATACAGCAAATGAGAGCAGAATGGCGGCCCAGACTCACTGACTACAAATGTCTGCGAGCTACAGTGGCGCAAAGGACATTCGGGGAGGCACCTGGAACCTGCGAGCTGCAGTGCAGGGACACCGCTCTGTAACCAGAGTCTGTAGGCTACAGTGCAATGCAACACATTCAGACAGGCAGCCTGTGGAACAAAATGTGAACGGACCGACTGCTCGCACAAACACGTCGCTCGCACTTGGGTCCAGAGATTTTCACACCAGTCAAACTTTTTGTCAAACAACATTTATTTGCATGTATGAGAACAAAATATAACTGACTCAATAACGACGCAAGACATCCATTTGTAACTTTCATGTGTGGTTATTCTGCGAAACACTGAACACGACTCGGTCAAGGTGGCCTGCGCTACATTACTTTTTTTTGCATCTTGACTAATGCATTCAGAACGTGGAGTCTTTGTCATCTTTGGCACTTTGACCCCGTCAGACCATTTCAACTGAGCATCTCGTCTTAAAACAGGCACAGCTTGTCCAGATAAGGTGCATGACAGGTGAAAGATGTAGGCTACTGTACAGTATGCCTTTTAAATAATAAATATAAAACTGGAGAATGGGCTTTTGAAACAAACTACTATCATGTGGCTTTAAGTGTCAGTGTTTGACTTTCCACAGTAAAAGCCTGGTCGCGCCAGGAAGAGCAACATGACACATTGAATTGTGGAGCATTATGGGGCGGTGCTGCCATTTTTTGAGGATAGCCATGTACGCTATCAGCTGTCGTTATCTGTCACCGGTCATTTGTCATCCGTCAGTCGAAGGGATGTATAAAGTACGCGCAAAAGACATATCTACCAGCATTTGACCAGTTTCTGGTGCTAATTTTGTCATTAGGATGTTACACCGAGTTGAACCGTTTAGACTACCAGGCTAGATGGGTGGTGACTGTGTACAGTGCATGGTTGGTATCCTACAAAAATGGCCAACTTGCTGTTGATGAAGTCACATTCCCACTCCCTGTAGCTCTTCAAGCTCCCTTGTGCTGTGCTCTTTCTCTCAATTGTGCATCACTTCATTACATTTTTTCTAAACAGGGAGGCAAGCTAGTGCGCTTACTGTCAGTTACATGCTTTAGCTTGTAACGGACTCCTGTCTCATGAACGTCTGCAAACCACGTCTCTTTTGTGGATCAATCTCTACTCCGACAGAGGAGGTTAAATAAAGTGGACCGTGCTACGATAGCTTCCTCCATTCTGGTCTCTCTGACCTTCCGTCCCCTCAGATGTTTACTACTGGCCGATGGCGCAAATTTGTGCGTCAAAAGTTCATTATGGTTGAACTCAGTGTGAAAGATGTGTATTTACCCTGTGAGAGAATTGAAATGAATTGACTTTAAATGCTGATGTGACTGGGCCTTGAGTCCAAACACGGCTGGCTGAGGCCTACTCACAAAACATCTTATCTGACATTCATTTTACTCCTCGATTTCAATTCTTTCATCATTCGTGCCTCAAATAGGACACCATTAATACACACAGTGCTTCATAAGAATCTGTAAGCCTGTAAGCAGCCAGTCCTTTAAGAAACGTGTTCCCCCTTAATTCAAATAAACTGAAGAGAAACATCTACGTTCTCAGTTCAGAGTTTTTACGGGGTGTTTGGTCTGTGATCTCTGGCATGCTCTCCGTACCTGGAACATCATTTCTGATCCTAAGCAGTAAGATATGTACATACTCTGATGGCAGTAGAGCAGTTGAATGTAAGTTCAATCAAATACGAAAAGGTCTTTGACCAAATAAACAGAATACACAGTTGCAGATAAGCCTGCGCGTCGTGGCACCTATCTTCAAAAGAGGAGAAACATATGGGACCATATACTTTAATGGAAACAGTTTTCAGTGATGGTTACTGTCCACGCTGACCCGCTGCGGCCTCTCTTTAGTCGGGGTATAAGATGAAGCCGGAGAAGGTGCTGTACTTGTTGTTGTTGCCTCCGTGGGCTTTGCCGCCGTCCAGTTTGACGTAGATCTCGTCCCCAGAGTCCAAGTGCAGCACGGCGCTGTTGCTGGCGTAGTCGTAGTTCTGGTCTGCATCCTGAGCTATGGCGCTGGCCCGAACCTGGGGGAGGGGGAAAAAGAGGGATGTAATATGCATTTGTTTGTAGGAGAATGCAGTAGAGACAGAAGTTCATGTGTGCCTGAGAGGCAGAAGTGGAACAACAGTGCAGCCTTAAAAATAGCATTTGGTGTGTAAAAGGAACCAAAACTAGACAGGGAAGGGGAATGATTAGAAAATTAAATTAGATGTTAAACCCACTACTAACCATTATAGAGTAGTACTAAAAAATAGCATGAAGTAAACGCTTTAATTTTGCAGCATCTATATTGATGATACTCAGCCTCATATCTGAGCCCTCATCCAGACGGAGCTGGCAAAATAAGAGCTTTTACGCATGAGCGTCACCCCCAAACGGAGCATACACACATCACCGGATTCGACCCAAAACCTCCCTGACGTTACCTTGAAATCATCCCGCACACACAGTGAGAATATGCGGTTCTGTGACTCCTGTGGAAGGATGATAACCGATAAAACGTGGAGCGGTGTTGTGCGTCTTTCGAGCGTAAACTGGTTTGGTTAATCTGGTGTGGCGCATTAGAAGTATTAAAACCTGCACAACGTTCGTCCCGTTCTTCCTGTTCAGGTCTGATATTACCTGTCCGTTCTTGCACAGGTCGGCCCACATGCTGGTCCCGTCTCCGCCCCGCATCAGCACATGGTAGGTGAAGAAATAGATCCCGGACACATGGCAGGTGAACTTCCCGGTGCTCGGGTCGTAGTGGTTCCCCAAGTTTGTAATCACGTCGTCAAACTTTAACACCTCATATCCCTCGTGCGGATTCTTCAGACCGACGTAAAAAGCGATCCTCAGACTGTTGCTCGTGGAGTTCACGCCGTCCGTTTCGCCGTTCTCAGCCCCCGCAGCTCCGGTTATCGCGGGGAAGGCGAGTTTCCCGTCGCCGCGCTCTCCCGCTGGCCCCCTCGGACCAGGGGGTCCTGGTTCTCCCGGCGGGCCCCTAGGTCCAGGTTTACCCGGTCGGCCCGGCTCCCCTCGGCTCCCTTGAGCCATCGGCGGCTGCGGAGCGACCCCGTTCACGTTCTGGATCACCTCCATGGCGGTGGCGCCTCCCGGTTTCGCGGTGTACGGGTCGCAAACCATCCGACAGGTGCCCATCATCTCATAGTAATGAGCGGAGGTCTCAGAGGTGCGCAGCAGCAGTAAGGGGACAGCGACGACCAGAGCCAGCAGAACCATCGCGACGGCGGTCACCACAAAGACCACCGACCACTTCCTCCGCGCGGTTCGGGGACCAATGGACGACAGGAGACCCGTGGAGCCGCTCTGGGGGGGAATTGTGACGGAGGACAGAGGGTCTCTCTGGACGACTAAAAGAAAAGAGAGGAAGTTACTAGAGTGCGCATCCCTCGGTCCGGATCCTCTAATGGATGGCTTCGAGCCCCTGGGCAGCGGCTGTGACCGGGGTGCGGGTGCGCGCCCTGCCTGGATGGAGAGGTGCGCGCGGACAGCTGCAGCCAGCTGTCAAAGTTATCAAAGATCAGACCGGAAAATAGAGGATTGGGCCTTCAAATTAAAACAGTAGGTTACCGAACAGGAATTCTGTAAAGGAAGTGAAGAAGTGAAGTCATTTAAAATAGGCACATAACCTTCACTGTGTGTGTTATATATGCATATATATTCTGAACTACAGTTCATTTTTAATGAGCATTAAGATCCGATTCTGCACACTGTCTGGGTCAGATTTATTTCTCTAGCTGTCACCAGGTCAGTACAGTACAATTTAGGGCTAATTTGAACTTACTTTAGTATTTCCATTTTGTACTATAGCCTACTTTATATTTCTACTGGACAGTTTTCCCCCCACATGTAGCCTATTTGACTTGTTATAATTAGTGGGCATAGTTTCTGTGCAGATGAAGATTTTATAAAACATACAATCACATATGAAGTGAGCAGGATCCATGCTGCACAGTTCATTCATTCATTCACAAAACAGATCAGGCTTTTATTTTTAAATGTGTAACAGGAAGTCCTCTGTTTCAGTTTGACTGACTTGATGAGAGGAGAGGAGCAGGTACAGCAGTGCGTAAAGTTTAAGTCTGCGCAATTGTTATTCAATATGGCACTAAATATTTAATATGATTCACTCAATATTTATGTGTAGAAAAATATCTTAATCTTATACTTGAATGTCAAATGATTGCATATTTATTTTCATAAATCTCTCTAAATGGTATATAGGCTAGTTCTTATAGGTGGAATACATTACAAGTCAAAATTAATTAATTCTTCTGTTCCCCATATAAACAGATCTATTAATTCTTATAAGATCAGAGATTATATATCCCATCCAATAGACTTCCCACATCAACAGACATGATTTTTTATTTTATTTTCAACATTAATGAACCCACCTTGACCAAAATAAACAAACAATAAACAAAATAAAGCTTAAAATCAGGTTTCCGTTAAACTAGCAGCTGAACGCATGACCAGATATTTGACTCAGACCACGAGGGGTCTTTTCAAAGTCAGAACCAATGGCCGAGGGCAGGTTGGTGACATCAGTTGACCAACTGCATTGGTCACTTCACACGCACAGGCAGACAGAGGGGGGTAAAGCAGATAATATATGCCGGAAACGGAGCATAGATGTCTGACGGCTGGCGACACCTTCAGCTCTAAGCTCCCCGGCTGCAGGGACACATTTGATGTCTTGTTTTATGAGCTGGAGAGCCACAGGCCTTGCATTTCGATTCTCAGACAAATTAGAATTCTTGCTGTGCGCAGGAAATCATTACTCTATTGCATACAGATTTGTCTTAAATGCCTCTTTAGCCTCATTTGTTTCTATCCCAGCGAGGCCACTTGTTCTAACCGCGTGGTTTGTCAGCACATCAGCTGAATGCGACTATTATTAACATCTTTCATTGCTTATTTCCAATGAGTGCAAGCCATTGAGACACTCAATAAAGAGTGTCTTTGCTCATTGAAAATAAAAGCATCTATTGATTTTGTCCTCAAGCTCAAAAAATTCCCCTGAAGGACCTGAAATACTTCAAAACTAGAGGTTGGCGGCTAAGCACCTTGAATTGGAGCACAGGCCCCACATCCACAACAGAGGCTTTAGAGCTCAAGGCGATGTGGAGAAATCTTCAGAGGCCAGAGACGAGGCTTAGCTGAAGCCCTACGGTCACACTGCAGAAGCCCCGCACCGCCGACCCCCCCTAAGCAATTTCAGCTTGTGCTCAGCTCAGCTTTAACTCCCCAGAACATGGCTCCAGCTGAGCTGCTCATGTCTGAAGGTGAGACTGAGCACGAGAAGTCATCCGAGTTGGGTCAAAAAATAAAATGGAGGTTGAAATGTGAACACACGACAGTCCTGGCTGGCAAAGCGGGAAATGTTATGTCATGTTTTAAATGTTCATCTAAATCTATCTTTCCATCAAAACAAAACCCTAAAAATAAGTATGCAGTAAGGCATACAGAGAATATTATGCTCCCCGACTCTGCGACATGACTGCAGAAATGACCTTTACTCAGGATTAGTACAGTGAACTGTATCTTTAGGCCATGGTGAACCATGCATGACACACTGTCCACATTATGCACTGCAGCTGCTGAGATTATCCTGCCCTACGGCGGAGCAATGCTTCTAATCACGTTGCATTTTAGTGGACCGCTATGTTATACTCACGAACCGTACAGTTAGACAAATGAATCAGTCCACCGTTAGACTGTTCTCCGTGCTTTTGTTTAATAACACAGAGGAAAATGTAAGAAGAGGATGACTAGAGGGTGGCCCTGAGAGCTGAAAGCACTGCCATCGAAGTCAAACATCCATGTGAACAAAATATCTTCACCGATTTGAGAACACGTCTGCAGCAGTTGGAGGAAATGCAGCAAAGTATAAAAAAATTGGCAAATTGAGAAGCAAATTCACCAATTTAACAATATGGAGCATAACAATTAACAACGTATACAGAATACAGCCAAATATAGACAACACTAGTGGTGGAAGGAGTATTCAGACCCTTTTCTAAGTAAAAGTAATAATAGTGCAATGTAAAAATACTGTTACATGTCAAAGTCCAGTATTCAAAATGTCTTAAATTAAGTATTAACTGAAAAATGTACTTGGTAGTGGCGGAGTCCGCCATTTCTGCACTGGATTCAGATTCCCTAAGCATGAGGGATTCAAGTACTCATCCTACAGAACTGGCATTTGTTGGTACTATATTATTATTCTTATTATTATTATTATTATTGATGCATAAATGTGTAAGTAGCCCTTTAGTGTTTTAGCTGGTTGAGAGGGAGATAATTGTATACTTAACGTGTTGTATAATATTTAATAATGCATTATATTTTATAAGCTAATCATATGGTTTTTATATCAAATCTAGCTGGCGAATAAACATCTCCATTTAAACTTTTACATTTTCTTTTACTGATTTTCTGGAAATTTGTTTAAAATGTGCACTGAATTTAGCCCTAATAGCCTCCCAGTTCAATTTCCTTTAGTTTCAGGTTTTCTTTAATTGTGGTGTGATGGGCTCTCAGGGCCACTGTAAAAAGCGATGACAACCCTCTGACTCTCATAAATCTATCACAGTAAAGATTCGATTTTATTACAGGATGAATTATAGGCCAAGCAAAACATAGTCTACTGTAAAATGTCATAGAGTATTACTGTAAATCTGTGCGGGAAACCTTCACTGAGCCACAACAATACAGCGATGAGATCTTGCAACATCAGCTCCTGTCTCAACATGTGACCCTAATCCCTGATGAAGGGCACCTTGAAAGCACAGAAACAAACGTCTTCCTCAATACAACATTTTGACACTGATGGTCTTGTCAGATGTTGACGTAGCTGTACCTGTCCACCTCAGGCTAACTATTTATGACCACGTCTTTACCTCTCTGCCACTATATCCCACCTAACCCATTTACATACTGCAACCACAAGTATGTATGTAATAAAACGACTTATTGGACCAGATTTTGTTTATGTCATCCATGTGTTTAAGTCATGGTGGCCTCTAAGCCCCCTCGTGTACAGCAGCTCCTTCCATGACCTTGAAAAATAGGACATTCAACATAAAAACTCTCTTAATTGCTCGGGTGTCTAGAACCTTTCAATCCAAATGGCCAGCGTTATTTTAGGGAGAGCAATAAGCTGCAATCTGGATGAGACTTCGCTTGATTTGACTTGTAAGATTAATGGGTGTTCACACCAGGACACCCCCGTAATCGATACCCATGAATGAAAAATCTCAAAACCGGATAAGTATGTCAAGGACTGTGACCTAAAGCGTTGTAAACAAACACGAGGTCACGGCCTAGAGAGAGTGAGCGTGGTGACACTGATGCAGCGCTCTAAGCCAGGGGGATTCAACCTTTTGCAAGTGGCAAAGGCAGACATGATGAAGTCATGTTGACAGTGTGTAACCTACGGTCAGACATCTTTTTAACACGATTTTGCTTCTGCTTTTTTATTCTAATCCCAAGGCCAGCTTATCAAATACACCAGTTCAACAGCTCACATGGAGTAAAGGGGGGACCTACCATTTAAAAATCATTTCACAATAAAACAATATGAAAAAAATATTATCTTCTGGTCTTCTTCAACAAAATATCATGTGATTTTGGAAATACAGACAAACCACAAAAAAAGACCAGGAATCACGTTTCCCATATTCATCTTATTATAGCATGTTAGCATGCTAACATTGGCTAATTAGCACTAAACACAACGTACAGCTGAAGCTAACGAGAATGTCATTAGTTTTGCACGTATTTGGTTTTAAAGGATCAGGGCAGAGGATTTGGTGCCATCTAGTGGTGACGTTGCAGATTGCAGCCTACTGAATACCACTCGCCTTCCAAGTGTGAAGGAGAAACTATGGTGACTATGAGCTATAGCCAGTTTTAAAGGTCCAGTGTGTAACATTTATCGTCATGTAGTTTCCCCTTTGTGCTCGGAACTGGAGGGTGAGGTGAGGGAGTTACACACTGCCTCTTTGCATTTTGAAACAAATAGATGACTCCAAACATGTATCAGTGTGATACATCATTAAATATTTGAATACATAAATAATTATATGCATAGGAAGCAACAGCAACATTAGTACCTGAAGCAAACCCAACGTGTGAGTGCAGAATTTGACACTATTGATCACAGCACCTTACAGGAGAGGCTCAGATTGTGGGTTGGGGTATCTGGAGCCACATATGTCTGCTTTAACTGTGTCAACATCCCATTTAATATGCAGTGTTATTCAATACCTTTTACTTTGTGGTACACATCAGTACACATCATTTTGGTTTTCATATGCTGTCGTCTCTGCCTCCTCCAGCTCCCGCTTTCCCTCCTTTTTCTCCTTCCTACAAACCACAAACTTTGTCTTTAAAGGTGCTCTATAAATAAAGTTTATTTACTTTTTGTTGCAATGTGAACAGTTTATGGTGTGGTTTCCAAACAGGCTCCTGGATCACAGATCTTTTAGAGGAGCCCAATGCTTTGTCACTTTTATCTCCTGCACACACGTGGGGGCGTGGCTGGGGCGGGGCTTTGGCTCTGGCGTCATCTTATCAGGAAGAGTCGCCGCAGTTGGAGGAAAGCGGAGAAGCGAGGCAAGTCGGTGGTAGTAAATAAGTGAAAAAACATCGCTGTAAGTACTAATAGAAGCTAAAGTATGTAACGTGAGCTATTATTTTACCCGTATATACCCGTGTGTGTGCCTGTGTCGTGTCTGTGTGTCGTGGAGAGGAACTTCATTCGGAGGTTAAAGTTTCCACGAGTTCAGCCAAGGACAACAAGCAAGGTTGCTTCAGTCCGCTTCTGTGTTTGAAGAGAATGTCAGTATGGATTTCTGGCTATTTCATGTTGTATCGCTAATCGTTCAGCTTTAATAAGTCCCACAACTACACGTGGAGCGGTTTCTGAATGCTTGTGGTTTTCTGGTAAACTCGGCGTGTAGCTGGCTGACTACTAAAGCAGAAGTTTTATAAAATGGACGTTTTCACTGCTAATGTTAGTAACCGCACGATAACCGCATGTGGTCTGTCGCATTTAACAGCTGCTCGTGAGGTCAAAGTGAAGTTTTGCCTGAATGGGAGACTTGTTTGTTAAACGTGCGCGCTGTTTATAGTAAAGCATCTGCTCTTATGAGCCTGTTTGATCACTTACTGTCTTCAGGGTGTGTGAAATCCATTTCTGTTATTGTTGGATGGCCCCTTATTGCTTTCACAGTGCTGTGTTACAGATCTAGGACATGTCGATTGAGACACAGAGATAATGGGGGTCCTAGTTCTGTGTTCTAAAAAGAGCAGCTCACTGCCCTTAAACTGCATGCTTTACATCTTCTAATACTACTCATTTAATTTCAGGTCCCAGACTGGATGAAGAGACAAGCCTCTAAGGTGTAGACCTAACAATCAATGTCTGTAAGTAAATACCAACTTTTTTTAATTTCCTCTCTGTCTCTCCACTGAACCTCTTCAGGTCGCGTGGCTGTAATTAAACCAACATAATGACCGTGTGTCCTGTCTATAGATTTGTCAGGGCATTATGCCTGATGAGATGGCGAGGCCTTTAATCCGAGAAAGAGGCGAAGGAAGAGGCTCCAGACGTCTGGAAGCCTCCATGTCTGACCCCGGCGCTCCCGTTGTCGGCATTCTGGGTACGGGCGACTTCTCCCGCTCACTGGCACGAAGGCTGGTGGCCTCCGGCTACCAAGTAGTGGTGGGGAGTCGAACCCCCAAACGCTCCGTGGCTCTGTTCCCTGAAGAGGCCGAGGTGACACACACAGTGACACTGACACCCACATTCACACTCACCATGTAATTGGTGTTTTTGTTTCGCCCCCGATGGTGATAATTATATATTTACTCTGACTTGATACTTTAGGCATAATAGCTGTTGTTATTATCCTGAAGAGAAAAGATAATCTTAGTTAAAGATGAGTCAGTTGTGGTATGGGAACTGGATAAAGCAGTTAATCTCACACTTTGAATGTTTCCCCTTTACATCATATTTCAGTATCTGCCAATAAGGAATTCACAAGGATTCTTAGAAATGGCTTTTTTACTCATATATGGGTGGGAGAATATCTGATATTGACATCTTTAAACTATATATCAATGCATTCCTGGCCATTTGAGTTCAGGTGTGATTAAATATATTCCAATTCATATACTTAAACTCTCGGAGCTGCAAGTTTTCTGAGGCAGTTTTCTGATCACAAAGTCATGATGTAAATAATGTATTCTGATGTAAATAATGTATTCTGATGTTCCTGTTGTTATTATAATTTCCTCCTAACGTGCGTCGTTTCTGTCTTTGTCTTCCAGGTGACGTCCCAGATGGAGGCAGCGAACCAGGCAGACCTGGTCTTTGTCGCCGTGTTCCCTGAGCACCACTCCACGCTGGTGGAGCTGAAGCCGGCACTAGCTGGAAAGACGCTGGTGGATGTCAGCAACGGTTTGAAAATCAGCCTAGAGGGGCCTTCGAATGCCGAGCTGCTGGCGGACCTGTTTCCGGAGAGTTCTGTGGTCAAAGGGTTCAACACCATATCGGCCTGGGCGCTCCAGATGGGACCTCGGGATGGAAGCAGGCAGGTAGGATACGTCAGCTCCCTCTTGTAGTTTAGATTGATGGAGCTCCGGCGATGCTTTGACCTCAGCTTCATTTCTTTTGTGTCTTGTCTCCAGGTTTTCCTGTGCAGTGACAGTAGCACGGCCAAGAGCTCGGTGATGCTGCTCTGTCGTCGGATGGGCTTCGTCCCGGTCGATATGGGCCTCCTCTCCTCTTCTCTGGAGGTCGAAAACCTCCCCCTGTATCTGTTTCCCTCCTGGCATATCCCAGTCCTCTGCACCCTGTCCCTGTTCGTCTTCTTCTACCTGTACAACTTCGTCCGTGACGTCCTGCAGCCCTACATCATGGCGGGGAAGAGTGTTTTCTACAAAATGCCAATAGAGACTGTCAATGTCACTCTCCCCTCCGTGGCCTTGGTGATGCTGTCGCTGGTCTACCTGCCCGGTTTGTGTGCCGCTTTCCTCCAGCTGTGGTGGGGCACCAAGTACAATCGCTTCCCTAATTGGCTGGACCGCTGGCTGACCAGGAGGAAGCAGTTCGGGCTGTGTAGCTTCCTGTGTGCAGTTCTGCATGCCATTTACAGTCTGTGTCTCCCCCTGAGGAAGTCTGCCCGCTACAAACTGCTCAACATGGCTGCCAAACAGGTGAGACGAAGAAGAAACGGCTCTTCACTCGGATTCAGTTTGTACACAGAGAGCTATACTTGTGGGTAGCACAGCAGAGTTAGAGGAGGTGTTTATCCCTGACTAGACTTTTTTTTGTCTCAAAGAAGCTTTTGCAATTGCGGTGACAATATGACCAATTATGTGTCCACATACATGAAATCAGTGCGTTATTGTTCTGCTGTCATCAGTGTATTTTGTGCGTCAGTCAGACACCGTTCTATGTAAGTGGAATCAATGGAGGTGAAAATCTGCCCTGGACTCATGGAGGATTCTGGTGTTTATTGTGTCTCGTCCAGGTGAAGGAGGGGGTGGACGACTCGTGGGTGAACGAGGAGGTGTGGAGGATGGAGCTGTACCTCTCGGCGGGCATCGTGGCCCTCGGGTTGCTCTCTCTGCTGGCTGTCACCTCGCTGCCCTCAGTGTCCAACACTGTCAACTGGAGGGAGTTCAGCTTCATACAGGTGCACACACACACACACACACACACACACACACACACAACCACACACACACACCACACACACACACACACACAGAGGCAGTGATGTGCTAATGAAATAAAGATAAAGTAGAATAGACAGATTGGCCCCAAAGTTTCCTTTTTCCTGTGATTATTTACTGCCAAAAGCATGAGTTTCTCTTCTTTTGGATGCAGGATAGCAGACAGGATTAATGCAGAATGATAGCCAGAGATTGACAGTCCTGACGCATAAACGTACAGTCACACTTCTTACATACAGACAGACGCACTCTACAGTCTCCTACATGCTCACATGATCCCACACATACAGACACTGTGACTCCCAGTTCAGCAGCTGCCCCAGATTCGGCGTTAAACTCGGGCTGTGACAAAGCCATCAGGAGTGTTGTGACTCAGTGCGCAGTTCCTCCTCTCCTCGACTTCCTCCCCACCGTGGCCCCCGTTCCTCCAGGACTCGCGGTCCGTCGCTGCTGCCTTTTTCCCTTTCATCTCTCCGTTAAACTAATCCGGTGGCCGTCAGATTAGTCATGTGCCGACAGCCGGCGCGATGAAAGGCAACTTTGTGCTCGGCACATCAAGACCCCGCTGCCCGCTGCTGCAGGACAGTGTGTTAATGCGCGTTGTGCATTATCTCTGCCAACTCCATCTCCACCTGCGCTTTTCCTGACAAAATATCTGCTGTAAAAAAACATCTATCCCACAATCCCCCAATTGTCTGTTGTAGTTCTCTACATACACCATAGGAATGCTACTGCCTCTGCTGTCAATATACAATTATTTAGTTCTTTCTTTCCTCCTCTGTGTAATAAAAACTCATCCGTCTTGTTGTGGGGAAATAATTATGATGCACTTTGCCCAGTTAGTGAGTGAATGAGGTAAAATAGGACTATTTTTAACCCCCGGCCCCCTACCCGAGTCAACCTTGGGAGGTTTCTCTAATTAGCGGGCCCCGTAGCTACAGTATATGGCGCACACCATACACACATGCATACACTAGTGGGGTTCATTCAGGTCAAGCGTGGTAGGTCAGTGTGTTTCCTCAGGGTTTGTAGTAGCCTGTAACATAATGAGCTAATGTAGTGGACTGGTGTGAACTGAAGAGGAGTCCCTTTAAGGGGAACAGTGTGGGTCTTTATATGTGGAGGACAGGATGATTGTCGTGGTCTGTCTTCACTTCCAAATGCAACCTGTGACGCCCTTTTTTCACCCCCCTGCAGTCCACGCTAGGTTACTGTGCCTTGTCCATGGCCACCCTCCACACGCTCCTCTATGGCTGGGACCGCGCCTTTGACCCCACCCAGTACCGCTTCCTCCTGCCTCCCACCTTCGTACTGGTCCTGATCCTCCCCCTCACGGCTCTGCTGGGCCGCCTGGCCCTCTGTGTGCCGTGCGTGGCCGGGCGCCTCAGACAGATCCGCCGCGGCTGGGAGAAGAGCCGACACATCCGCTTCACCCTGCCGGACGACGGCTGCCGCAACGGGCTGGAGGATGTCAGCCATGTGTGAGAAACGCACTGCTGGGTGTGCGTGTGAAGATCCAGACTGAAAAGTAGTCAAAGTAGAGCTCTTTATGTGTGCGCTCATGAATATAAAGTCCAGTCAACCACACTCGCACAGAAGATAAATGATTTATACGCTCCTGGAATGTATTGATGGCTCATCTCTAAAGCCCGTTGAGAGATTTCAGAGATCTGTGAGTTTCTTTTCAACAGATTAGCTGGTAGTTCCTTATAGATATTTGACCAGTAGAGCTGTGGTCATCAACTTTATTGCACTATGCATTGACAAAAATGAGTATGTAGTTACCTTTTACTTTAATTTATTGTTCTGTGTTGTTACTCTACTTGAAGCTTCAACCCAGAACTGAACAATATTAGCTTCTGGTTTAATTTATGCGAAACTGTTACGCTTCCAATGAACCTGCTCAGGACTTACTGAAGCAGTACAACATGGATTTTGTATAGCTGAAATAAGATCATCCGAGGTAGACTTAGCTGTCCTCTTGGCTTTTGCATTCCCTTTTATTTTTTTTATTTTTCCTGCCGCCTTTAAGACTGCTGCACAGATATCTGTCAGCCAGCCTTCAACATGGCCTCATCCTGTTTTGTCCGTATGCTAAATATTAAAACTAACATGTCTTCATGTTATTATTTGTTAATGAGGATTTTCATTAATGTAACATCAGGGTTGCATTTTGTTTTCACGTTTTATTTTGCAGTACTTTGACCCTTTTAATGTGCTGTCATATTAAAGGTGCATTGTGTGACATGTATGAGGATCTATTGGCAGAAATGGAATCTAATATAGTCATAACTATGTTTTCATTAGTGTATAATCACCTTAATATAAGAGTTATATTTTTGTTACCTTAGAATGAGCTGTTTATATCTGCAAACGCCGCAGGGTTGCCTTCCATAGAGTCCGCCATGTTTCTACAGTAGCCCAGAAGGGACAAACCAAACAGTAGATAGGGGTGCTTGTGTTTTGCGATCACTGTATTTTCTCCTTCGTGCCTGGGAGAGTGAAGCGAGCGAGTTGTGATCTGCAGCTACACCACTAGATGCCACCAAATCTTACACACTGGACCTTTAATGTCAAACTGTTAGGGACTGTATGAAAATGATTGAGGTGGGGAGGCGGATGAACATTATTCTCGATTTTAAAAAAAACCAAGAGCTGCTAAACACGAAGCTACCAGTTTCTAATCTCATGTCTTCTAATCTATAAAGAGCCATCTGTTATGATGCAGAATAAAAAAGCAGCTATAAAAACTCTCTTTGGCAGAGATTGTCGTTCCATCACTCACTCTTCTGTTCCTCAAATCTCTGATACAGAAACAGACAATATCCTCCCCATTTCTGTCCACCCTCCTTCCTAAGCATTTTTCTACAGTCCCTTATGCATAAACTCTCATTTGCTAACTGGAAGCTGCTGCTTCAGTGGCTGCATTGACTAGTAGTTACTGAATATAAGAAAACTACCATTAAAGTGTTATTTTTTACCTGGATACTATACATTGTTCAGTTTTATGGTTGTATTCAACTAACCTGCTGGTAACTACCCATCAGTACTCATTTGACTTAAAAAAATGTTACTTTTTTAATTGTTTTCATTTATGATCAGGAACAACACAGTTTGCTGCTGACTTGTGATTTCAGCAATTTTTGTTTTGTTATTACATAAGTTTGTATTTTCTCAGTTTTATGTGTTCTTGCCAAAGATGACTCTGTTACGTGATAGATTGTTTTCCTGAATCTAAATTAAGATCAAAGTAGTGTACTACCACAAAATCACGAATGTAAAGAGATCAAATTGTTACAAAATACAATAATGCTTTTTTGTTTTTCTCTATTGTATTTAAATAATGTGAAATACATTAGTTTGTAGATATGAGCCTCATTGTACAAATGTATTTATCAGCTACAATTGAATCATAGGCTGAAATAAAACCTAACTAACTTCTTTAATTAAAGATTAGACTGATGTCCGTCTTTACAAAATCAAATGCAAGTTAAATCTAATCTCAGGCTGCCCTGAACTGTGCGCAGCAGTGAACCCATCAGATTATTAAATATGTGGATGCTGCCATCTTGTGGTGCAGAATGGTTTCGCTCATGTCTCCCAATGCTAAAAAAATTGTAATAAGAGACATGGTTTTCATTCAGCTCTATCACAACAAAGTCAACAAGTCATATGAGACGTTAGACTACAGCTGTGTTGCATAATAAAGGATTCTATCTGGTTACATGTCCTGTAATTCTCAAAAAACAGATTATTTCTTATTTCTTATTTCTAGTGTAACTGCAAACTGTCTTATCTGTCCACCGCTGTCCTTTGTTAGCGTGAGGAATGTCAAAACCTTCATAGTCTTCAGACGGTGCTGAAACTACCTCCCACTTTATTTTCCTCAGCAAATCCCAACAATGACAAACTGCAGGACAAGTTGGACGAGCGGCGACTGAGAACTGGGGAGTGAGTCGAGTAGCAGCAAGGTGTGTCTGTTTCTCACTGCCGTCATGACTGTAAGTACTGCCTGCTTTGAATCTCAGCCTTTCCGACAATGTAACATAAATATTTATGGTACTATTAACTCATTTCTCAGGTTGTGACAGAGCGGGAATCGCTCTGCTTAGCTACAGTTTTATGTGAATGTAAAGAGACGATAAGTCTGATTGTAGAACAAGAACAGTCACAATCAAGTTAGACTGGTTTTAAGAGTTTTTTTTTTTCTTTTTTTTTTTTTTTAAACTAACAATTTAACTGAAATTTCTGTATCGGCTTGTATTTTTTCTCATCCAACCAGGGATCATTTGAGAAAGCAGTAGAGGAGGTGAAGGTACTGAAACAAAGACCAGACAATGGAGAAATTGGTCTACTGTACGGTTTATATAAGCAAGCCACAGTTGGTGATGTTAACATAGGTGAGTCACTGCAGTGAGGCCTTTTACATTTTTTTTTTTTTTACTTTGTAGTATTCATGTGGAAACATAAAAAAAAAACACTCAAAAAGACAAGCTGTGTTTATGTCAATGAGCAAAGACTTTGAGGACGTAGGGTGCGGTTGAGAAAAAATGAAGTTTGACAGGTTGTGTGTATTTGTAAATGATGCCTAATGTGATAAGTTTACGCAAAGTTGTATATTTTCTTTTTACTTTCTTCCGAACAAAGATGAAAGAAATATTATTTGACTGTGTGCAGATGACAAAAAGCATTATACTGCCATAAATATGCAGAATGAGGATTTTAAAGTGCCTGAGAACTTTGTTCCAGATCTTCAGTATTTCTCAATATTTACATTTCTACTCCATTACATTTATTTCACAGCTTCAGTTACTAGTTAACAGATTAAAGCGCCACTGTAATCAGCTGCAACACTAAAATGCTGCTTACATATTAATGCATCATATTTTAGATGTTAGATTTTATCTAGTAGTTATGGGTTAAATTTATACGTTTTCAGATTCCCAGAGAATATATAAAGGACATGACCTGAGTGGCAGCTACAGGCACACTCCTAGGGACAGTTTTTCCACATTTGAGTGTATTTGGCTAATAAAGTAACATTTCAATGCAGGGCTTTTACTATAATGTAATAGAGTATTTCTACAGTTTGGTGTTACAGTTTTTAAATATGGATTGGAATACTTCCTCCATCGCTGCTCATAGAAAGAAACTGATTGAGAAACAAAGTTTTCAGGGACTTTAAAAGCTCGCACATGACATCTCATAAGATAATTTGTCTTGTTGCTCATAAGACTGTTGTTATGTGGCTTGACCGTTTGTATATATGTTGCAAAGCCGTTACTGATGGCTGCTTTTACATCCACAGATCGCCCAGGGATGTTTGACTTCGCAGGACGAGCAAAATGGGACGCATGGAAGGCAAAGAAAGGTCAGAATATATGGAAATTAACTTAAAACTTAAAAATAAATAGAACAATACATTTTGGACAGTTGCATGAAAGACTATATATAAAACATAAAACAGATACGTCTAAAAATTTAGTTTTAGGGAAGATTCACCTGAACAAAGTGGAATTTAAAACATGTTTGTCTACTATTCCCAAAAACAAATATCTGGGTGTTACCTTTAACTGAATGAATAGACGTTTTTCCTGAAAAAAAACAACTGGTTTGTTTGTTTCCATTTCTAAACCAACAGGTCTATCCAAAGAGGAAGCAATGGACGCCTATGTTATTTTGGTGGAGAAGCTGAAGGCAAAATGGGGATTCTAGAGTCTGTTTTTTACGTTAACATTATAGGAAATGAACTTATTTGCTTTCTTGCCAAAAGCGTCTTTATATGTCTGTATGCTAATTGTGAAGCTAGAGCCAGCAGGCAATTAGCTTAGCTTAGCATTTAGAGTGGAAGCAGGGGGTAAGTGCTAGCCTGGCAAAAGGAAAACCAATCTGTCTACGCTCTGACACAACCAGACTAACTGTTGCTAAGCTAATTACCTGCTGGCTCTATTTTTTTTTTTTTTTAACATTTAGCATACAGACGTGAGTGGTATCGATCTTCTCGTCTAACTCTCGGCAAAAAAGCCAATAAATGTTTCTCAAAATGTTTAAGTTAAAATATAATGTACAATTTCATATAAAACGTTTCAACACATAGCATCTGTATACAGGGCTGCTATCAAAAATAAAGACTTTACAGTTCGTTGGGCCTCAGACTTCACTTGTTTCAACTTCTAAGGACAAATATCCAACAATTTATAAATATAAATAGTAGAAACAGCTGTCAGTATAATGAAATACAATTCAATAGTTCCTCCTTAGAGGTTTTTGGGGCTTTAACCACTCGAGAGACAAAAAGCCAGGATATCTTAGCCTCGACTGCATCAATTTTGACCCAGTCCCCAAACTTCACGGTGCAATACTAAATAACTGCAGTGACCCTTTTAATTGATATCTAATAATTGAAGCAGTTTAAATACCCCCCTGACTCTGGGTAGTGCATGGATCTTGCTGGATTCCTTCCAACCTTTGCCTGCCAAAGCTTTTAAAGATGTGGACGTTAACAAATACATACATTTTGAGACATTACTATAAGTACTACAAACAAGTAAGCCTGGCAGCTTACTAACTGGGCCTCTGCAGTACATTTTACATCATGTCATTGAATAAAAACTCCACGGATTAGAAAAATAGGCATTTGATGGTACCACTGTATTAAACACTCCACACTGCAGTTGTGGACTAATTGGCTATCAGCACAAAGCCAGGTTCCCCTCTGTATCGACAAGGAGAGTGGGGAAAATGAGTAAATCCCGACGCGAATCACATCTCCAGAGTATCCACTGGGAGCCCGCTGGTTGTCGGGCTGCCTGGAGAGCAGGGCAGCAGGGAGACCTGCGTGTGAGGAGACCCGCTGTGGCTGATGGAGCCGTGATGCTGTCTGGGCCGACTGGGGAGGTGCTGAGTCAGCCTCCACCTCCTCCACCTCCTCTGAATTTCGTGCTGCACCTGGAAATGCGACACGTCATAGATGCCCAACTCGCTTTACACTCTAAAAACCATACGTTTGTGGCTCTAATTGGCTAATCAGTTCTCACCTCTCCGTTCATGAAGCAGTAGAGCACAGCGACCACAAAACCCTTAAGAGATGTGAAGAGAGAAAGGACAGTGAGTGTAGTTTTATTTGTCATTACTCTGAGTTGACTGGACGTTCTATCTATCTCGTACATACAGCACATTTTACCTGTGTGGATGACAGGGCCAGTTCTGCAAGGGTCCATATCTTAAACACTGAGCTGCTGACTTCAACAGGTAAGAAAACAAACAGGATGTAATGCAGACCGAACAGAGTCACCAGAAAAAATGTGGATTTGATCAGCCTCCTGGTGAAAGAAAAACACATTTTTTCTCAATAAAAAAAAAAAAGTGGTCCTACATATTTTTCTGTGATAGTCCTATCTCAGTCTCTACAGGTATGCTTGAAATATTGATATGGAAACAAATTAGCATATGGCTTAAAATAGTATGATACTACCTATAATGTCCTTGCATTTGCATCCGTCCCTATGAAACTAACCTGCTAGTGTGTATACTTTAATCCAAATCAACAAAGCGAACAGGAACAGTCTTTATTCTCTTATCCTATGCAAAGCACATGGCCCATTCCTCAAAGACACTTTTTTACATGTAAACCATAACTGGCTTTTAACTTTACATATCAAATATATAGTATGGCAGCAACAACAACAGCAACAATACTACAGTGTCTCACTTATACTGGCAGAATTCATTCCTCTGTGCATCCGACATTCTGAGTTTGCCCACCAGTATCCTCAAAATGCCCAAGAAAAATATGAGATTCATCTGAAATGATTAAAACACTTGTTATATTTTGTAATACAAACATTTCAACATTTTGGGGGAAAAAACTTTCTTGCCAAGAGCTAGATGAGAAGATTGATACTCATCATGTAAATGTGTGCTAAATATGAAGCTGACTGGCAAGTCGGTGGTTATGGCCCCGTCCCAGAAATGATCTCTTTTAGAGCTTTAGTTATGGGAAAGTGGATCTTTGGACAGAGACAGGCTAGCTGTTACCCCCATTACCAGTCTTCATGCTAAGCTAAGCTAACCAGCTCCTGGCTGTAACTTCATACGTAACGGACAGCCATGAATGGTGTCAATCTTCTCATCTAACTCCTGGCAAGAAGGTCATTTAGTATGTTTCTAAAAAAACCTACTTTTTTAAAGAACATATTAAAGTAAAAGAGAGAAGGTTTTTACAGATATAGTTAGAAGAACTGGCACTCGGAGGATCCACCAAATCCATGCATGTGTCCTGGTTTCCCAACAGCTTTGGCAACGACAAGAAATAATTTTAAAATCACACACTTTGATACTCACGTAACTGCGAATGAATGAGTGCAACACATTTTTAAGCCCCTCCTTACCCTTCGTCTTCATAAAAATACTTGGCACAACCCCAGGAGATGATAACAATCAGTGGTACGCCTGTGTGATGAAATAAATCTTAGAAGGCACAGAGTCAGTGTTTGCTATCCTGAGCTGTGAATATGAATACGAGTGCAAAGCAGAGAGCGAAAACAAAAGACTGGATTTTTGTTAACACGTCTACCTACCCCAGCTTAGGACGATGTACCAGGCGAGGTGTTTCTTCAGGGAGAAGAAGGAGCGGCTGACCAGGGTAAAGAGGAAGTGACCCTCCACCAGCAGCCAGCTGTAGTTTGCCAGGATGGAGTAGTTGGAAAACATCAGCACAACCTTACATGCCACCTGCCGCACGGGAGAGAAGGCACTACGTAAGTATTAAAAATAATAATAAAATAACACTGTTCTTTATGCAGTTAACCAGCACCACGGAAATATTTACAGACATTCATGGTGCCCAAATGGTGTTTCCAAATCATCCTCTAATTTTTTATCTAGTGTCACCTTAAGGTCAAAATTTGAATTAGTTGTTAATGACAAAGTACCTGCAAAGCTACGGACACATGCAAAATTGTAAATGTTTCTATAAATATATATGAAGAATTATTTATTATTTTCTTTCTGAGAGTTGGATGAGAATATTCCTCTCATATATTGGGGTGTATGGTAAATATATTCCTTGATTTTTGACCCAAAAGACACTCCAGTGTCACTCTAATCTACATGTTTATAACCACATATATGAAGCAGATTAAAGTGAAGAAACAGTGTCCATCCATCCATACCGGGTAGTAGTCACAGTGGTAGAGCTCTTCATTACTAAACAGCAGAGAGTCTCTGATGAAGATGAAGATGGCTCTCAGGATGAAGGAGATAAACACCTGGATGTGAATGTAGTTCCTGGTACAGTGCAACTTTCTGCAGTACATCAAACATTCACAGTTTAATGTATCATTCTTTAGTTTTCAGTGCAGGAATTTTACAATACAAAATATTTGAAGGAGAGAGAAAAGGGGGTAATAATGAAGGTTTCCCACCTGAACAGACAGAATATGGTGATGGCGATGGTGAGAGAGATGAGAGAGAGTGTGTATCCAGCAGTGTACATGGTCTTCACGTAGGAGAAATACAAATGGGAATCTGAGGACTGAAAAAGACAGAGAAGATCACTTCCCCTCCTCAAAATGATTTAACAACATCATTAAAACAGCCACTGTGGGGGGACTTGAGAAGCCTAGGGGAAGGTTTATGCTTAAAGGGACCTTTAACGGATACACAATTTAGCTGATGCTAAGTTGTTGAGTATTTTTTGACTTTAAACTGTATTTCAGCCCAGGATCTGGCTCAAACTCAAGCATTCAAACTTGTCCTGAAGTGAGTTCAGTCCATAGGACACAGAGACCGGTCTTACAGGGTCAGGAATCAATTTTTTCAGAGTTTGGTAATACGGCAAAAGTGTTTTTTGGTAATTAGGGTGCAAGCCTAGAAGAAAAAGTCATCTTTTTAAATGTTCCTAGCCAAGTTAAGCTAAGTTACTCTCAGCAAAGCAAATAAGTATATTTCTCCAAAACTATTCCTTTAAGCATGGATAGAAATAATATTCACAGTCATATAAGATTCTTTAATTAACAACTCTTTGTGCTTCAAGAGACGTGTCTGTACTTGGATAGTATATTTCGATAATGCAAAACTTCATATTTATGCTTTATATTGAACAAAAGTCACATACTGTATACATATTAGTTACCACCAACCTCTCCAAGAAAGTGCAGCGTCTCATTGAAAGTGTAGCTACATGCATCTTCATGTGGGATGAGCGCGTCTGACCAGCCACTGGCGGTGCAGTTGCGATACACTTTACCTGCAGAATAGCAATAAAATCCTACGTCTGTCACTGCTCTCTTTAGTGTGCATTTGGCAGAAAACTAAGTATATCCTGTAAATGAAGCCTTATTAGGACCGTTTTCCTGCTGGTCAGGTGTGTGTAGATCATGTGCTCACAACCCTTGATTTATTGGACAGTAAAAAGATACATAACCATTACTTTCCCTCTTCAGGTGCTTCAATAAACCTCCGGTCGGTTCTTCAAATACATCATTATGAAACCTATCATCTTCATCTCTCAACATAAACATAGCACTCCAAAGTGTTACCTAGTGTCTCTATGTACACAAGCCTTTTATGGCTGAATGTTTGGATAGAGACCCCGAGAGGGAGAAGCTGTCTCAGTTCCTTATGAAAACAAATTAGCTTCCTGGCAAATAATTAACCAGTGCAGTGTGTCATAGATAATGGGGGGGCCTGTTTGTAAATGTGTCTGTGAGTGCATGTGTCGTATCTCACCTTCTGAATTAAAAAACTCATGGTTTGGACACGGTTGAGAGACAGTTTCTCCAAGAGAAGCTGGTGGCCAGCAGTTCAGGTCATCCCACATTCCCTTACAGTGTACGCTGATGTTGTTTTCTTAATGGATGGGACAGAAATGACATGTTTTATTAGGATTTGCTGGGATTCCATACATTATACAAAGTTAATAACAAATCAAACTGGCTAATAACAATGATTTCATGTTTTAATTTCATGATAAACACTGGAAAACATGTCTGGATTAATCTTGATCCTTCAGTATAAAACGCCTTATGTCTACTCTAAGTGTCCAGGGTGCATTATGTTATGTTGCCACTAGGTGTCACTAGAGCACTGCGTCACATTTTTATAGGTTTAAAAAAAGGCAAACTTTTCATTCATCTCACAGATCACCAACATTTTTTCAATGGAAATATTCACTGAGCAGCAATTTTGATTTATTCAATAATTTTTTATAATCATTATATACCACAAAAGGTCTAAAATACACAATTTAGAAACTGTATTAACTCACCTGTTGCTTTGTGTGACAGGTCTTTCATGCACTTCTCCTCCTCTTTCACAAGATTAACATGAGGGTGACACCCTGATGACCAGGGCGCCTGAAAACGACGAGATAACAATGTTACTGTTCTTAACACATTTCACAGATTCAAACTAAGCATGCATGTATGTTTCTCACCTGGGGTAACAGCAGCACTCCAATAAGTCCAACTTTTCTCATTGTGTCAGACGGGCTCCTTTATTTCCATCCAGACAGGTGCGACACCCCGCATATCTGATCAGAATGAAAAGCAAGCATCCTGCCATGCAGCAGATATATGCGGTCTGAAAATCAAACGTAGGCCTACTCACTGTCAATAATTATGCACATTATTAGTCAGGGCAAGCTGATAAGCGCTCATCAAGGTAGCTGCTATAAAACGTGAACATCCTGCCGTGGCATTCAAAATAAAGTTATGGCCGCGCATAAATACACGCGTCACTGTCTTAACGGGAAGTATATTTAGTAGTAGAGCTGTAGAAAATAACACATCTTACTTCAAAGGATGTGTTTTTACTTTTTACATCGAAACAAATAACACACAGCAGTATGTTTTCCGTCAAGGCTTTTATTTTGAAGGCGGATTCGCTAGCTTCCGGTATATTTCGGACGACGTGACGCTCGCCGACAACAAATCGTATTCTCTGACCGCACGTTGGCCCCGCCCCTTCACACCACCAGCGTCACTATGGCAACGCCGGTGTTTGACTGTGGGGTCCTCTCCATCGACAGCAACATAAAGTGTCCAAACGGTACGAAAACACACGGAAAATGTCTGTTTTCTTTGAACAACTCGATGCAACCCCTTGGCTAGAGCTCGAGTAAGTTGTGTAGTTCCGTTTTTCGAAAGGTTTTTTTTACAGGAGAAGCTGATGAGAAGTGTTGCTAAGAAGCCTCTGTTGACGGTAATGCTAAGTTAGTAACGTTAGTAATAAATAATAATGAACAGTCTGTGTCGATTGAACCAGTGACGAGACTGTAACATTACTTCAGTTGTCTGTTATATGGAGGACTGAAATCACCAAAACCAACAATAAATAAATGACCCAGTAAAGAAACGAATACGCCATTGAATTAATGACAAATAACATTAAAAGAAAGTGTAGGCATTCATTAATTTATCCTTGTGATATTCCTGATTTTTCTATCTATCTGATCTACTTCCCATTTAATGTTTCATTTTATTGATTCACTTCTTCTTTAAATGTCTAATAGACCTTTTTCACAGAAGGCATTTTGTCATTAAATAGGGTAAACACATGTTACCAATGATACTGATGAATATATACTGTATATTCACATATCTAAAATATATAATGCTACACAAATATGTTACTAAGGCACAGATAAGGTGGAGGAAGTGTCGTGCCCCTGGTTCACACTTTGCGTGACAGGAAATAAAAACATAAAAACAAATGTAACTACTCGAGTGATTTCACTGAATCAACAATAAAGAACTGGACGTGACAATAACCTGCTGTCCTTCCATGTCTTTCCTCTTGTGTTCAGGTTATACATTCATTTACCAACGTGATATCTCCCAGCACGCCGCTGTCTCCTTGACCGTCCTCTCTCCTTCTGTCCGTTTCTCTCATGAGGAGCCAGAGCTGACCTTTCGCCATCATGGAGGTGGCCGTATCTGCCCAACAGGTCGAACCCCTCAGGAGGGGGACTCCTCTGCCTCTGAGCCAGCTGGTGGAGGAGAGCAGGAGCAGAGCCAACGTTCCCAATCATCTACTGGACTCCAGTACGTATGAAGCATGACCTCTGAAACCCTCTGATGGCGTGCGTTAATACTGTTTTCATACTGCCGGCAATGATGATGAAGCACTTAACCCAAAATATGGCAGCAGATCCGGTTGTTCTAGTTGCGTTACAGTTTAAATCGCTGCTTATTTAAATTGGTTGAATCATCAGTGTTATTTTTTCACCATCAAAATGGCTGACATTCATATTTTTCATTTTGCTATATGTGTGGAAATCCTCTTTGCAGGTGTGAAAAGCCCGCATTCAAACTGTTTTCTGTTATGCAAAAAGCTTATTACATTTCAGTAATTGTTTTTTTTTTTCCCCCTCTTATAGAAATCTATGCCAAACTGAAAAGCAACAGCCTGATCCAAGCAGAGCCCCCAGTGCTTCACTTCAGTGGATTTGAGCTGGGGAAGGATTACATAAAGATCCTGGTGAGGAAAACACTGTCCAAGTTTACATATCTTTGGCGTTTTCACTATTAATTTGTTACCTGTCCCATTCACAGGATGCACTACTGACTGTGAGTCTTTAGACCTTCATGTCCACAAGCGCTTGGTGTGAAATAAAAGTACATACGAACAATGACACGGTCCACACAGTGTAGATAACATTGGCAGCCATATGTGTACCTTCTGCTGCACGCTGATTCACCTGCTGCTCTTTTGAAGGGAGATGTGGGTCACTTGTTTCCATCTGAGGACAAAAAAACACCTCCTTCGTCTCACTGACGCAGAGAGAGAGAGATAGTTGTCCCCGTACCAGGCTGATTTATCATAGTCATTAGCCGGTTATTGCACTGATGGGATTGTGGTCCGGTGTGGCAGGAATTTATGTGCATCATATCCACATGTTGATGTATGTGAGGACAAAAGCCTGGTCCAGGGAGAGCTTGAAGTTGTCTGTGACGCTGCTAGTGCACAGTCAGTGCTCGCTGCTGGGTGGGGGCTGGCTGCACAGCTTGTTCTAGCTACTGAAGACTCAAAGTGTCCATGAACAAACATTTTCCAGGTGTCTGACAGGCCTGTCACAACATAAATCTTCGTAGACAGACTTTAGTGTGACTTCTTTGTCACCAGAGCTGACAGCAGCATCCCGGGCTTTAAGCAGGGAGTAGACCTCAGTGATCCAAAATCAAAAACACACATTTTTCCTCTTATCTGTACTGATATTTAACCATCTATATTGTTTCGGTGAGTTGCTGAGTTTTGGAGATATTTGCTGTCGAGATGTCTGCCTTCCCTCCAGGAACCAGATGGCACTCGGGCTTGTGGTGCTCAAAAAAGAAATCCTGACCCGGTTATAAGAGCCTGTAGTTCATCTAGTTCCATTACTTAGGAAGTAATGCAATCTAGATGGATAAATAGCATTGCAGGTAAGAGGGAAAATATGTAACTGTGCCTTTAAGGAATTCCCCTGTGTAGTGAAGGCGAGCCCCGACCTCAGATAACTTTAGGTTTGTTTGTATTTAAAACATTGCAGCAAAGTATTAAAAACACTGTAAAAGTCCTATCCCATCATAAAGTCCTCTCATTTGGTTTCCATCGAGGATAAATTTGATTTAATTGAATGGGCACTGATTTTACACCCTATTTGCGAGCGGAAGCACTGTAGACTGGATGTAAGCATCAAGAATATGGAAATAGTCTTCTCAAGTGCACATGATTGGATGGAAATGAATTTTTCTTTTCTCTCCTCTTCCTCTCCCTCAGAAACTAATCAACATCTCATCTGAAGTAATGAATATTCATATCATTCCAACCCAAACCAAGCACTTCCAAACATCTTATACCAAAAAGGTATTTTTTCCCCTCCTTCGTTTACAAATTGCTGACCTGAATATAATAATATGACCCCACTTGTCCATTAGTGCAATCAGAAACGACTTCTGATGATTCAACCTTGTCCCATGTGTTTTCTCTCAAGTATCGACTCATCCCAGGCCTCGCCTACACGCTGAAGGTCAGGTTCTATCCCGACGAGTGGCGTTACTTCTACGACTGCGTTCGGGTTCACTGCAAGGTCAGGATCCAGCGGTTTGTGCGCCGCCGCGGTCGCTGCGCTGCTGCAAATACTGTTTTTGTTTTACACTTAAATCTTTAGGCATTTAGTGGAAGCTGGAGGACTTTTCATTGGCATTAACAAGTACTGGAAAGACACAACTATCCACTAAAGCTAGCTCAAACAGTCAGACAACCAACAGGAACAGTTCCTACTATAGCTGCTTTAACTTATCTCTTTTGATGATATGTTTTATCTCCGTTATTCTCGTTCACTCTCTCCATATCCATGTTCCTCCTCCTTGCTCATTCAACCCAACTGCAACATTTCCAAGGGGGAAGAGAACCTGTTAATTCCAGTTCATGCTTACCCTGTCATCGATGACCTGCACATCCCTCCTCACATCGACCTCTCAGCCGTACCACTTGGACAAAGGTGTGTGCGTATGCCGTACACTGTGTGTCGGAGTCTTCAGTCGACTGTTTTCTGACCTCCTATCTGCCTGAGGGCTTGCCTGTCTCTTTGTATTCTTCCATACAACCAACCATGCTTCCTTTCACCCGTTGGTGTCAAATCGTAAACAGAAATGATTTCATCTGGGGTTTTTTTTTCTTCCCATCTGTCTCTAGTGTTCGCCATGCTGTTCCTCTGAGATGCAGCTGCCCCATTGACTTTGAGTTTCAGGTGTATGTTATTCAGCCACACGAGGCCTTCTCCATCCATCCCCTTACAGGTATGGACTAGTTTAATCATTTAATTTAACATCATTCTCAAATGTAATTGAGAACTTGCCTTTTCATTGCAGTGCACATTATTTCTACAGTGCATTTAATGGCTGTTTTCTTTTAACGTATTTAAACATATTTGCCTTTAAGGTAAAATGGATGAATCAAGTTGTTTTTCCATTGATAGTTCTTATTGAGCCTGCCAGATAAAGAACATAATGCATCGGGAGAGCTGTGTTCTCTCAGAAGCTTGGACTGGTATGTTTTGTGTATTAAACAAGTCACAACAGAATTGAAGGATGCGTCCAGTTTCCACACACTGACACTGAGCAGTATTCATGGTCTGGGAAGCATCATAACACATGGCGGAACCAAGCATTTGGGATTTGAATTACAGCTGCAGTTTAAACTCTGTACAAACCTGGAATTAGTAGAAGAGATACAAATGAGTTTCTTATTTTGGAACAGCTTTTTATACTTTGTCTTTTTCCCTCTCTACGATAAATTGTGGCTATGTTACAACACTTACAGCTCACAATGTAGAAACATCACACAGCAGTCAACAGTGGTACTTTAACATTATGTTTAGTGTAACACTTTCTTTGCCCATCAGTCATTTCTCATCAGTGCTGGCTGTATAACTTACACCCTGCATCAGATAAACTCAGGGACCTCAGACCCCACCTGTGTTCATTTCAAATGATTTCAACGTGGATGTTACAATAATTTGTAATCCAGTTGAACTTCAGTGTTAAGGTTGATTCAAGTTTGCACTTGAGAAAAAAGAAGCTGGATGGCTTAATAATTTATCCATTACAGTACTTAAACTATTTATTTCAACCATTTATCTATTACTTTAAGCTATATTTAAGCTTTTTTCCCTTGCTCTTCCAGGTGTGATACCAGCCAATGGCGAAGTGAAGATCGTTGTGACCTTTAGCCCTCTCCAATATGGTACGTCTCAAGTCACCATCCAGCTCATCATCTCACAGTTCAACACCAGACCCTACCTCTGTACCATCACCGGGAGCTCTGCCCCTCACCTAGCCCTCAGGTAATTAGAGCAGGAGATTGTTGAGTTGAAAAAGCCACAGGTCAACACTAAACATTGACTAACCACCCATAAAGACAATGTGACATAATGTTGAAATATGTTTACTGACCTTTAAAACTATATCAAGATTTTAGGTCTTTCTAGATTCACTACTGGCATTAAAGGTGCGCAGATAGCAGAGATACCAGTATCTCCACTGACACTATGTCAGCTGACCAGGAGCCAGCAGATAGTATTTGTTTAAGGGGGGGTGGTAATGTGTTCTTCCTCTACTGTAACATACCTTGTTGTCTTGCTATATTTCTGTTCTCTTATCTCACAGTGGTATCTCTGTTGCTTTTGCTCACTCCGCAGGTTCACACCCATTACCTGGGTTGTATTGACATTCTGTAAGTAGAAGTAGAATAAGACGAGCCAGTACAAGACAAAATGTACCACCTCATGTTGCAGTGTGGAGATATGTCAGGTTGTACCTTGTATTCGGATTAAGAAAATGGCCTTGTGTGCTGATTAGAAGTTCCCATTTGTTTTTTTTCATCCAGTATAAAACCTAATGTTTAATTCTGTTCCCATGAGAAAGAGGGTGCTATCCATCATGCAGCAGTAGCCCCATCCACTGCACTGTCTTGGTGTTATCTCGGCCAAAAGTTAATAATTCATGAAAATAGCTTGGTGGCTGGTGCAGTGATATCAAGATGGATATGCCTCCCGATGGATGTTTAGCATATAAAACAATCCTCCCTCTGTTTGTTGTTCCCCACAGTGGAACCAAATAAAAGATGAGATATGTGCAAGTGAAAGATTAAGAAATATATGCTAGAGCCAATGCTTTTCCAGCTCCAACCACTGCCTGACACTCGCTTGTTGCCGAGTGAGGTAGAGGCTATTCTTAAAATAAACAGACGATGATCATTTTAATATCTTCAATGACTTTGCTTCTGTGTTGCATTTTCCATCTATCTAATACAGTCTAATACAATAGCCTTGCAATAAATCCTTAAATAAACCTAGTAAATCTTTGTGACGCTTGTAATGTCAAGCTTTTGTTGACACTGTGTCAGAGAAGTGTTGAGTAAACTGTGGGGTTATTTAAGGCCACGGTTAGCGATGCGGTTTTCTACTAGTGATGACTTTGCAATCCCAAATTATTTGCAGAAATGAATCTATTTTGGCCCTCTCCCTCGCTGATTCAGTACAATTCTGTCATAATTAAAGTTTTACTCCATATCTGCTTATTTTCCTGCATGACAGTGAGCTGGGAGGAAAGTCGGGTCGTGAAGATGCAGTGGCTGCAGAACACAAAGGACCTTCACCTGCCACCCAGGTGCCTCCTCGAAGTAAACCCAAATACAGGCCAACCAAGGAGGCTGACAAAGCAAAGGTAGTTTCTGTGGTCCAGTAACAGTTTTCTATTTACTTACACGCAAAACGGGGGGTTATTTGTTTTAGTCCTGACTCATAAACCCTTACAGCCTAATTTGAAATGCATTAAAACAGGAGTTGGTGGGTGCTTCATGAAGGGGTTAATGAATTCATTTTCATGCTGAAAATAGTTTTGAGACGCTCTCTTGCTCCTTCATGAAAAATGTAAAGGTCTTTATATAAGTGCAATGTAAGATGTGCTTATTAATCTGTTACCTTAATTAATGAATTTTTAATTTGATTAAGGAGATAAGAGAAGAAAGAACCTAATTTCGGGAACATTTTTAGTTTTGGTTCCACGTGTGTTCTTCTTTTGTCTTTCCATCACAACTATATTTGAGTGCCGTCTTTTGTGTAGATGATGATAATGTGTTGTCCTCCGTTTCTCGCTGTTATTTATTTCTTTATCCGTCCTCTAGACATCGAGAGATCAGGCTGGTGTTAAGATGAAGCCCGCAGTCGATGTCTGTACCCCTGCAGGGGTGGCAAAGATGCTGATCAAAGACACCAATAAACTCAGCTCTAAAGACCTGAGGGAAGGTAGATGCCACCCACTGATTTTACGCTCTCAGTTGTTATGGAGTTTTTGTGATGCGTATCACCTCATTTAATCTGTTGTTGTAATTTATGTGAGCTTAAATGAACTACGTTGTATTAGGGTCCTGTTATACTCTCCTTTAGCATAGTATCTTTTTTTTTTTTTTACTTGTTGCCATGAAGCAAATTGTATTTTACATTATACATATGGCGCCACTCATGTCTTTTATTATCCCCCCTCACTTCAGCCATATCCTGTGGCAGTATGGTCGGTATGCAAAACAGGCGGATGAAGGAGGCCCTCTTCATGAAAAACGTTCAACAAAACGTGAAGGAGGAGCAAGCCAACCACGTCAGATGGTAGGTCGAATAATATCCCTGTGAGTGTTTGGACAGTTGCATTTGTATTTCTTTATGCACAAACTATTGTTCTTACATTTTATATATGCTTTTAATTGTTTACATGCACAAGATAACATGGAAAAAAGATTAAGATACAATTACTAAATCCACTTGCTGGTAAGAATACACATGTAAAATACAGATGTGCTGTTTCATCACACAAATCATACAAGCTGAATTTAATTTCAGTAGCAAAATAGTAGAGAGGATGCAGTTTTTTGGGGATTCTGGGTGAAAAGAGTTGGTATAAAGAGAATTCCAGTGTAAGAATGACTGATATTAATCATGTCCACGCACTGCAAAGTCAAATAGAAATTCAAACTGTGGAGCAAATTTAAGTGAAGAGGGAACATGAAAGAAGATTTTTTTTTAATAATAATATGGGTATTTTTATAAATAGTCATCTCTTAGCTTGCTTATATTGACATATATTGTGTTTTTTTTCCGTATATTGTATGTTTTTTTTCAAGATGACAGCTTAATTGAACTAAAAAAAAAATCTCATTCAGGCAAATTCATCTTGGTAAGGACCCCGTGTCAGAACACACCAGGAGGCAGGTAGCGGAGGAGAGAGAGATTGCACTACATCAATACATGGTAAGATCTTTCACTCCGTCTGCCCATTGACACTCTTACAGAAAGTTGTACACACAATAGTTTGACGTAAAGCGGGTGCTTTCAAAGTCAAAGGCACTGTGGGCTCCCCAATACCACACGTCCTATTATTATACTAAGTCTTACTTAGATTTAGGGGATAATCATGCTCTTCTGTTCTTTAGCCTTTATGCATTATTAAAAATATGCTGAATTAGCAATTAGCAGTTCCTGTTTGCAGTGTACCCGTGGATGCACAGACAACTATCACTGGATTACTTTGATCCTGGAAAAAAAAACCTCAAAACATCATTCTCTTTTCTGATTTCTGCGAGGATTTATGGTTGTTGTTTTTTTTCTGATGGATATCAGAGTTAGTCGCGCTGAATATAATAATATGTGTATCATGTCCGTGTGTTCAGATTTGACTGAGTTATGACTCAGCTAATGAGTGCCATTGTTTATGCAAATTGCGGCAATCGGGCGCTGAGGGTTTTAAAGTACCTTAATTGCCTCCATGAGCTGTGTGTCACAGCCACTGCTGCAGCTCCAACTGTTGACCCTGTTGGTGAGCGGGCCAAATCAGGTGCGTCACACGGTTTGAAAAACCTCTGAGTGTGTCTATGTAGGAACTGAAATCATCTTTTACCGCTGCCTTACATGTTTAACTGTTCCCCCATGACCCACTTCTGGATTTAGGTCTACATTTATTAACAAATACAGTTGGGAGGGACTGGTTGGACAGTATAATCTTATATAGTGTGTGTAGGGCAATCTGTGCAGGTCAAACCTAAATTATTGCTTACAGTAGTTGTTGTAGTAGTAGTAGTAACAGACTTTTCTGTTGCAGTAGATCGTTTCATGTACAGCGTTTGAGTTTGTTTTACTATTTCATTCAACATGACATTTAATGGATGTGTTAGAAGCTAATCACTTATGCTGGACACCAGAGGCATACCAATGTCAGAACCTGATTCAGTTGTTAGATTGTGTATTAGACCCACGCTGTGAATTTCATCCAAAAAAAAAAAGAAACCCACACTGCCTCTGTGATTGATTTTATTGAGAGGCTCTGAGGAAATGTGCAGACTCAGCCAAAGTAACACCAGTATTGAAATATGAGCGTGTGCGTGTGTGTGTGAAAGAGGTTCCTCAGAAAAGTTATTTGAATACTGAACAGAACTCTCACAGACAGTAAACAGCAGTTCCTCCCCCATCCCCTCTCCACCGGCACTGTTTATAATGCACACATACATGCGTACTCCTCCTTACGCTCTTCGTTTACGGCCTCGTATCACCACACTTTGGTGTTTTATTGGGACTCTGTTGTTTTTATGATAGGATGAACTACTATCTTCTTCTGTATGTCCTCTTCTGAGCCTTTACTGCAGGCCAGAACTTAAATAACTCAACAGATGAAACGTTTTCTGTTTGCATCACAGTGATGGTTTACAGCTTTACCACACGATCTCTTCATCACCCATGTTTATTTTTTGTCAAAACTATCAAATGTCATTGTCAAATGATTTTGTTAGCTTGATATATCACTCCTATAAACAAATGAGACCTTGCTCCACAGGATTAGTAGTCACGGCTGCTATTGTTTCACAAAATTAAGACATACCCCATCGGCTTATTTCTTCCTGTGACAAAGAGAGCGTTGCCTCTTCAGCCAAAGGATTTCAAGGCGTCCTTACTATAGAGGATAAACATGTTGGAATATTTTTTTTTCCCCCCATTGGCTTTGCACCATCTGTCATTGCCAGAACTCTGAAGGGTTTAGCAGAAATAGAAAGAACAGCATCTACTTTCGCTTTTATGCCACGAACCAATCTTTCTTTATGCTGTAACATTTTTTAAGCAGATTCCTTGCCAATTCTGACGATGTGACACACTATAAAATGCAGTGCATGCGTAAGTAATATAAATTCATAACCCCATATAATGATGAATAGGAAGCAACGCAGGAGTAGGCCTCTTGGTGGCAGAAGTTACCTCTTATTTAATAGTAATAAGATGGTAAACATTGTAAGAATTATACCTGCTAAACATCAGCATGTTAGTGAGCATGATAGCAGGCTGATGTTAGCATTTAGGTCATTGTTGACTTGTTTTGATCCTGGCACAAGGTTTAATTAATGTCTATGTGTGCTTTACAGACCTTCATCGTGCTGTGCTAACTGATTTTGTCGCAGGTAAAAAGAGGCGATGCGAGGCACGAGGAAGACTGTGCTGCCGGACAGCCCAAACTGTCCTCCAGACGACTACTTTGTGAAGCAGGACAGGTGAACCTCTACTGTGGAGTGTACTCAGTTTCCAGTTGGACTCCCATTTTCTGAAGGACTTCTCTAAGCTGCTGTTGTCAAATAGCTTCTTTACTAGACTGATCCTCCTATCCGCCATTCATAATGTAGTTACAATAGTTTTAAGAAGTAGTCGTATGCACTGGTGGTTTTTGACAAAGCCTGGGAGAGTGATCATTGTCATCATTGCCTGAAGGATTTACAGTTTAACAGAAAACGTTAGCGTGCAGTTAATGCTTAATAGATCCATATTTTGTCTTGGTAAATGTGTGGATAAGTGTCTTAACACTTCTGCATGACACATTTTCTTTTATTCTTTGTAAATGAGGGCTTCTACTAAAAAACTTGCCTCTCAGTGGTTTTAGATTAAATTAATCTGTTGCTTATAGCACCTCCTGCAATTTAATTCACTTTAACTGTCCTACTGTCTTTTACCATTTAAATACTCCAAGCTGAGACCTCATGAAATTTCCCTTTATAGTCCTTTTAATATGCACTCATTGTAACGATGTCAAATGAAATAAAAGTCAGCAATAAATGTCTTTCTAACCTCTTCTAGGCCTGTGAGGGAGCCCCATCCTTCCAGCTTAACTTCAGTTTTCATTGGGAGCTAAGACAAAGAGCCCTCGCACTGTTCCAGCAGGCAGCACGCAAGGTACACACATCCAAGTACTGTAAAGTCACCAAGGTACATGTGCAAATGCACACGTGCCTGAGCATTTTCTTAGATGCACAAATGCATACATGCATCACACACGCTTTCTTCTTCCCTCAGGGGAGGACTAGTGTCCCCGCGGCCCTGTCCCTTTAGTTCAGCCATGTGTAAACTCCTCACACTAAATAAAGTATAATATTCTTTACAGAAAAATCATTTTTTTCTGGGTGTGGCGCATTCCAGTGAGAGCTGAGTTAACCGACTTAAGCCTTAAAGCCTCCTAATGCCACAGGAAGAACATGCTTTCTGTTTTCCTAGCAGCTAGTAAAATAAAGGTATGTTTTTCTCATGGAAAAGTTAGAAAAACTCACTCATTTTGGCATAACAGGAAGTCATCTCTTAGGCATAACATTTAATTAAATTACAAAACAAGTCAATCAAGCTGGGAGAGCATTGTTTGCTTACAGTGTCACACTCAGTGCACAGTGTACCAGTCCTTCTGTATGGAGGTGAGGTTCCAGTAATCTTGACCAAATCTAAATGTTTCATGCAGAACTCCTGTACACAGCAAGGTGGGTGATTATACATGTGAACAAGGCATATTTACATGACTATGTCCCAAGATTGTTTACTTGATGGTTGATGGAAGATCAAGGTGACGATTATCTTTACATGTTAGTTGGTCTTGGTTTTGACGATGTGAGGAACAGATGAGTTAAACGTTATATATACAAAATTCACTTGCTGCTTAAAGTCACTGTGGAGGGACTTACATGTACACCAGACCATATTCCTAAACAAACCACAAAGAGGCTGTGATAGCAACACAGGCAGAGGGAGTGTGATGTATTTCTGGACACTATATCTTTACATAGCAAATAGTTGTTTGCAGCTGTATTTAAGACCCATATATATAAAACTTTAAAACAATACCATAGGATTACTGTGGAATAGAGAAAAGTCTAAAGCTGTACAGTGGTGGTGAACAGTTTTTATCCTTTTAATGAATGTGAATATCTCCCTGACACCTCTCCTGGGATTAGAAGAGGCGAAGGTGAATAACCAGCCATTTAAAGCAAGAACTAATCTGCACCCTTCTCTCCCTTCCAGGTAGTGATCCGATGTCGCATGAACCGGAGACTGACCTGTTTGAAGAAGCTGTCAGACAGTATGAAGAACTTGCCCTCGGCAAGGAAAGGTTTTGATTATCCTATGATCTCCTCATTCAGACGTAATCTCATTATGCCATGACAGCAAAGCACGCTTAATTGAATTTATTCCTAAAGGGGAAAATTCAGATGAAATCCCCTCTGGTTATTATGAGGTTCTTAGAAGATACATGCATACCTCAGGGACGGGCCTATTTATAGCGCTGTGTGCATTTAGTCATACATTTCTCACAGAGCCTAACAAATAATACATTAAATTAACTTTTCTAATGCATTAATTGTCTCACCTTGTTCAGCTGAAGAGGAGACAACTTGTGATCTGAAGATCTCGCCAGACAAGGTCTTTCCATCTGCTTTCCCAATATTCTCAGATGAAGATGACCCGCTGGTGAGTACGTTACATTTGATAATAATCAGCAGCCTGTTAACAATATAGTTTAACTACCTTTTACTGCCTAAATGGGGGCCGACATATGGACGTTTAGAGTGAAAAGTGAGTGCTGGCTATTGTCCTGCACATGGAACGATTTCCATTCATTATTTCCCTTGAAAGATGTCTTTGATCTAACTGTGGAATCAAAGAGGAAGCTCAGTTTCCTGCACTTTGATTAAATCTTTCATTTTCCCGACGCCCTGCAGAGAATAAGCCTCGGTGTTCAATTGAACAAATAATGCCATTTGTCTCCTTGATATTTCCAGACTCGCAGTCATTTGGTCACAGTGCCTATGGATCCCATTGATGTGACTGTGACAACACATATTCCTTTCTTCAAGCTTCAAGTAGGTATTTTCTGCAGCTGAACGTCACGCTTATAGTACATTAAGTACATTTACTCAATCAAAATGTATTTCTATATTGTATATCCATTTTATGTCACCTTATATTTGGTTCCACTACATTTCAGAGGAAAATATTGTAATAAAATTCTTACCCAACTACATTTGTCTGACAGCTTCAGTTTACTAGTTAATTTTCAGATTAAGATTTTAATATATGTAATCATCTCAAGACCCCCTAGAGTAAGTAGTTCACCTAAGTAGTTAAAGCTTGACCAGCTGCAGTAGTAAAATGCTGCTTACTGACGCATCAGTATCAACAATCTCATAGTCACAGGGTAGATTTTCCTGCAGAAAAATTACTTTTACTTTAAGTACATTTAGCTGATAATACTAATGTACAATTACTTAGGTAGGATTAGAATGCAAGACCTGTAATTGAGTATCTTTACATTGTTGTAGGAGTACCTTTACTTAAATACATGATCTGTGTACGACATTCTGCTTATTTGATTATATTCCACACTTTGAACCTATGACCTTGTATGTGAATATCTATATGAAATACTGTTTTGTACCGTAAAACAAAGCTGTAATAAAGGACCTCTGTGGGTGCCTCGTCTCTGCTATAGTTAGCTGCTAAGTCGGCCTATAAGTTGTGTTTCTATGTTCTTTTGCTATTAGAAACATATTATTTGTTTTGTCACTCCAGGTTCCTCAGCACTATAAGCTTATGGGCTACCAGCCTGTGTCAGCCTGGGAGGCATTTGACTCTTATATCCCCACTGCTCTGGCCAGACCGCTTCGCACTGGAGCTCTGGTAAATATGCATGTCATAGAGTCTTCTTTCTCTATTCCCAATATACCGAGAGCACTGAGAGGAAGGTGCAAATTCCTCTCGCTCATCTGATCCATATTTATATGTCTGAAACATGCTTTTTGACTTGTGTTGCTCACACAGGTTTTCTGTAGGGGGACTTTAATTCCCAGACCTGCCTGACCCTTTAAGAAGAAGAACTTCCCATTTAAAATGTCTTTGTTTACTGTTTTATCAACATCATTAACATTAATATGTATGTTTTAATTATGGCTCTAAGAGGTTCTTAATGTAATCGATTTTTTGTCATTTGAGTACCATTTAGCTCTAAATGAGGGGAGATTGCCACCACCTGTGCCAAAGTGGCATTAAGTCCAGATACTTTCCCTGATTGGCCAAAGTAAACAGGTGACAGGGTGTAAAAGGTTTGGAAGACAACTGTCTGGTTGGTCTGTTTTTTCCACACGCTTGGAGAATGGAGGAGGGCAGTGTTTTGTTTAATGTTTTTTCCCACTGACTTTCTGCACAGGACTCGCCTGTATGCTGGTCTATCCTCCCACTCACACTACCAACCATCTCCAAGTACAACAAATGCAGCACCTGGACTAAAACATACAGATCTGCCTAATCATTTGTTATTTCGTTGCTTTTTTAAAATTTCTCTCGCTGTGTGACTTTTTAGGACGAGCTGTTTCCCAGTAAGATCGGAGCCCAGCCTCCCACAACAGCGGAGCCCAAGGTGTGGGAGGAACAGCAGCGTGAAAATGAAGAGGAGGATGGGGAAACAAAGAAGGCTCACAGTCTCACCTTCAGCGCCCCTGAAGCTCTTCTCAGACCTTTTCCAGCAAACCCACTCAGAATATTTGTAAGCCTGTAATTTCTTACTATTAATCCAAAATTAAAGTCTGAAACTAAACATTAAATGTTTTCTGCACATGATACATAATCCATATCAGTATGACAGTATATTTAAAGTACTATTATGTCCCTGGGTATCTCATCATATGCTTTAGAACCCAGCTCCAGGCTTGCAGGCTTACAAACCAACCCCTAAATACCTGGAGAGTGACCTGGAGTTCTACCTCTGCCCTCTGCCCAGGTAACAACAACAACAACACATGAGAAAATAAATGTTTATGCACGTCTATAGACCTGATTGTTCCCTGAAAAAGCCAGATACTCAGAGAGAAAGCTCTTTCCATACGCAGGTATACAATCCCTGGGGGCAACGTAAGCACAGACACTCAGAGGACGTTTCTGGACCGCAAGGTAATTTTCTTTTCAGACACTTTTGGGAGTTTCTTTGGAATACTTTCATCTTAAAAACACTTTAACCAAGTTGTTACAGTATCATATTTATCATTGTAGATGCATTTTGTTGCTGGACTGAGGAATTCTTTGAAATATGAGCAGTCCCTTCCTGTTATATATCTGACTGCACTGATGCATTTCTTTTTTCCTCACCAACTACAGGAGTTGATCCCAGGGTTCATGACATGGAAGAATTTTGATTCGATTGCCTCCAAGTGTCTGTTCAACCAGCCCGCTCTCACCAGCAACTGTGCCCTGCGCAGGTAGGTCAGAACCAACCTGAATCACTGCGCACAGTATCAAGTTGTGTCACTAAACGAGGCAATAAGAGTGCCTTTATACTGACAGCAGCCACCTAGAGAGGTTAAAGGACAGGGTACATTCACCCAAAGGTTCCCAAGTTCCCATGCTCCAACTGGACCACTGCGGGATCAAAAAGTAGAAGTGCATGTTTACAGTAGTTGTTTACAGAGTTGAAAGTTTCTGTTGCTCATTTCCGCTGTCCTTATCTTTCCGGCGGTTGGAAGAATTTAAACTTATGACCCTCTGTTGGCAAGACTCCTGATCACTTCATTATAGCTTCTTCAGCTTTTAACATGGTCATTTTCATACAATATAACTATATATAGAAGTGTGGAGTGCGAGTCTCACTAACAGTACATAATCACTTCCTGGCAGGCAATATATTGTGTAGCAGTCATTTTGTTTCAGTTCATCTGTAGACACACTGAGAGCATTTACATGTCGGTTACATTAGACGTGTTTGTAAGACACAGGCTCACATTTATAGTTTAAGAACTGATCACTTGGAGGAGATTTATCCTCTCTATGCCCCCTCATCAAATTGCAGAGACGGTGTGAGTGCTTAATAGCTTCAGAATCCATTCACCATCTCATATACAGTATTACAGAAACACGACTTCTCACAGTCTCAGTAAATATGTAACCGCCACGTCCACAGAACTCTCAGCACCTGCCTGCTTGCAGGATGTCAAATTGTCTACTTGGGTGTACAGTATTTATCATTTTGCATTTCCAAAGTAGTGGTGCTGATTTCCTTTAGTTTTTGTGAAGTAACTGCTATACAGTAGGTGTGTTTCATCACCTCTATTCTTGTAAAATAGTCCACAGAGTTTCTAAAATCAATCTGCTGACATGAGTTCTCTCCCTCAGGTTTTAAAGCCTGTGATTTCATCAAAACACTGACAAAAATACCCATTTTCACTTATGCAAATGACCACATTTCAGTAGTTTTGGACTGAAGTGATTTGATGTTACTGCAGTGATCAATTCCAGTTTGTTTTATTTATTTTAAGACAAATTTGATCTTATACGTACACTAAATATATCATTTGGATGGATAAATAGAACCATTAATCATTATTTCCTTTAGTACCGCTGTATACCTCGAGTGAGATGCTTTCTGTGTGTGCAGAATCTAGGTCACATGGAGGCAGAGAGCCCCGCACACTGTCTCTTCACTGACACTGTGAAATAATGATTTATTCAGTCTTTAGCCTAAATGGACAGTGAATAAATTATGATATTTTGGTGTAGCGTATTAGTGAACACAGCATGGGGCTGTCTCATGTGGCGCACTGTATGCTTCTCTATGCACCCTGTCACAACAAATCCCACTCAGGTGTGCAAACGCTCTTCTTCTGACCCTGGTAAAATAATGTCATGTACATTGTCATCATTTTGAGTGATAGAAATGTAACGTTACAGAGCTAATGAGGCAATGTTAATTTTTTGAATCTTACTCTGCTACAGCTCTCTCTCCTCACCTTTCTGTCTACTTGCCATTTCTCATCACTTCCCCTATGTTACATAATCAGATGCCTCGCATGGCAAAATATTCTCTTTATGCCCGTCAGCACTGATCTCCAGGATAACTCCAGATATAGTTTTTCTTTTTTCATGAGAGAAATGATTTTCCCTCCAACCTCCCTGCTCAGTCTTATTAATTTTCTATCACTGCCTCGCTGGTTACATCCTCTGTCTACAGTCATCTTTCAAAAACAAACAATATGATTTATGTCAGGTGGCCATAATGGAAGATGAGAATGAACTTGACAGCAGCTTGACAACAGGAACAGAGAGAAATGTGTGTGTTTATCTTATACGGTATGTGTGAATGATTAAAAGGTTTCTGTCATAGCTCAACTACTGACAAACCTTAAAACAGTATCTCTCTGGGTACAGAGAGTTCTTATTTTACAGCTGTACCACTGTGAACCACACAGACTCATAGAACTGCAACTGAGACCCATTATACAGGAGTATGATTCATGACATGGAGCTTTATAGGGAGTTTGTGCTCATTGTTTAGCTGTCCGGCCCACAACTGTATTGTTTTGGTTCACTCTCATGGTTCATTGTTCATTGTCATACTTTTTTTGTATGATTATACACTAATTAAAAACATACCTGTAAATATTGTATTCCATTTCTGCCAATAGATCCTCGTAAATCTTACACACTGGACCTTTTAACTCGCATCGCTAACCAAGCAAGCTAACTGACTGCTAGCTTTAGATTGAGGAGGAAAAGAGGTGATATGAAATATGGAACACACATCTGACCTGAAAATTCAAATTATTCTTTAATAATGATGTATGCAGGGAATGTTTTAAATGACGTTTCACAAAACTCAAACAGCAAACCTCAAATTACAAACTTTTATGCTAGTACAACTTGTCTAGCGAAATGGCGTCAGTTTGGTTAGCGTAATTGGATATTTCCCATTCATTCTAAACTGCGTAGAGACTGCTTATTCTAAAACAGTTCTCTATGTGTGCATATAAAAGAAAGTCATACTAACATTTACAAAGGATTCGATTTTATGTTATATCTGAAATTGGTATTGTAGCAGTAAATCGCTAGTTTGAAACTAACTAGCAGTAAGAACGACGTTACACACGAACTTAGTAATGGATTTAAAAATTGCTGGTGCGGCCTAGTCCAGGTCATGACACCTTCATTTGCACAATGGTTGTTGCATATTGTATGTGTAGCTGACCACGGTCCCATGCCACCTGCCATTATTTTAGTTTCAGTTCAGAGCCTAGAAGGAGTGCCTCCAAAAAGCCAACCTGTGGCTTGTCAGTGTTTTAATTCCATTTTGCCCCTAAGTGGTATCAACTTTCACTCGGGAGTGCTTTTATCGTTCCTGCTCAAACTGAGATACCAAACAACCCGAAGCAGTCCTTTCATCTAAGTAAGATGGAGTAGATATCTGACCATTATCTTGATTCGTAAATGTGTGGTCTGGCTCCTCAGGGGAAAAAGCAGTGTGTGTGTCCTCCATAGGTCTGTCGACTACAGCACAGATATACTTCCACTCGTTGCACCTCCTCCTCTCACTGGTCCTCCTGATGATCTGCCACCACTAATGGACAAAGCGTAAGCACACACAACATTGACATCTATCGATTATCTCGTTGGAAGCTTTCTCTATCAGGTATTGAGGTAAAATCGCTGCTTTCATGCTCTATATGTGTTTGTCCGTGTGCAGGTGTGAAGGCTCAGGAGTCCAACTAACACCAGACATGATAAGAGCACAGTTTTTGTCAGGGGAATCTCTGGTCTCCAATAGCAACCTCACCACAGGAACAACAGTCCGGTAAGTCTGCTGGCCCGATGTGTATGTTACTGAGACAGAGAGAGCAGAGATGCAAGAGATAACATTCTGAGTTTTTAGGCACAATGAAAGGCTTATTTACACAAAGGAAGCACTTCCCATGCAATAAATAGGATGGATGTTCAAGTATGTGTTCGCATACAAACACGTATGACAGATAGTGCTTCAAGGAATGGGCTATAAACATGTACTTTTTTCAGTTTTAAGAGGGGAAGTCCTCAGGATAAACAGAAACATGAAGTTAATGAATGCACAAATTGTGTACCTGAAGTTCCTTCCAACAAAAGCTTCCTGGGAGCAGGGACACGCTGCATGATGCTTCTATTTCATAGCAATGAAACAGATAAATATACACGGCTTTATGTCATTATCTTCGAACATTAATCAAGATTGCGTTGTTGGTTGAGGGTTCAGCTTTGCATAATTCTAACTCCTAGCTAAGGATGTACTCTATGTGAACCCCTCAACTTTTATGTAACATGCGTTCCTATCACATGAATGAATCGTGTACATCATGCTAATATATGTTGCTGTCATACTGATGTAATTTGATGTAAATGCTGGATGCTGTAACAGCTTCTTAATATGCAAATGGTTATAGTATTTAATGAATTGTAAATTTTACGACAATGTATTTAAGTTCTACATTTGAATGTGTTTTTATGATTATATGTGTTCAAATACAAACACCTTATCATATTTTGTATATATAATGTGGCTTTAATTTGAAACTGTAGTTAAGAAAAAAAATAATGACTTTCTGAAAATGTAATGCTGCATTTTAATGTGTTTCCATCATATGTTTCAAGGGATTTATTTCTTTTCATGTTTTTAACCATTAAAGGGGGGCATTTTATACATTATGCGGCTAGGCTTGCTTTAATTTAATTTGAGACTGAAATGTAGAAAATTGATTTTCTGAATGCCGCATTTTAGTCGATACTAACACCAACAATATTGCTTATTAAGGCTTAAATTGAATGTGGTTTGTATGCCTTACGGAGAATCGGGGCTCTAGTTTAGCAATCAATCCTTTTGAACCAGTTTAATTCCTCGGTTCTTCCGTCTGTAATGTTAAATGTCTCTGCCACAGGCACCAGAGGGAGCTTCAGATTGAGGCGACCTACAGGTCTGAGTTCAACCAGATGGGAGAAAGAGTGATGGCCAAGCTAAAGCAACTTGAAGTCACCGACAGAACTCCTCATTTATCAGCAGAGGATTGTGAATAGGCAAAACATCCCCCCCCACACACACACACACTTCCAGAAACACACAAAAACCTCCAAATTGGCTTTGTGCACACACTCGCACACGAATAAACACAAGCACAGGACTTCAAATAAGCATTATAACCATCCTACTCACCGATTCGAGACTCTACATTGTCTGCCCTGCCACTACTGTAAAATAAAACCTGGTTACTTTCTCGCCCACCGGTAAGCCTCCCTCCCACCCACTCAAAATTACCAGCAAGCTCTCCTCCTGTGCACTTTCAAAGCCTTGAAATTCGTTATCCCTCCACCCACTCGGATCCATATATAAGCAGAGCTACAGTATATTCTAACAAGCTAGAACACATTACTGCAAACCGCATTCAGTCAAATATGATAATTCTGCATTTTTCTGCTGTAGTTTACTGTGTTGTAGAAGCGGGAATGTGATGTCAGTGAGCAACTCGCGCTTATTTCTATTAAACTCTATTATGCTGCAAATGATGGTGTCATACTTGGTTAAATATGATCGACCCTTTTATATTAAAACGTCATTCCCATGCTCTCCATTGCTCTGACAGGGAGTCTTGATTGCAGCGTTTAGAAGAGATTTTCTTTGTCATAAATGCTAATTGGTGTCAACCACGGCAAAACACCACCGCCAGTTCTTAGACAAATTAGAATTTGATCCTAATCAATACTAACTGCTTGCTGATTTGGATTGGGTATTAATATTAAAAAAAAAAAAAAAAACATCAATTCAACATTTAGAAGTCCATATTTATGTGGTTGTAAAGCGAAAGCTGCTTAGGTCAGAATTTAATTTTCAAAAGAGCTGACATGCTGTGAACTCACTGGGATGGAGTCCAGTACAGAGTGCGTCTGCTCTCACCCCTAGAGGGAGCTCCAACTCTATGAGTTTTACAATTAGATATCCACATTTATTTGTCCTTCAGTGTATGTGTGTGTATCTGTGTGTGTGCGTGTGTGTGTGTATGCATGTGTGTGTACACTCACTTAATGGCAGTGTGCTTCAGAAAAATACAGTAGAAGGACAGTGCCTATTTAAACTCCCCTCTGCACACACACACACATGCACACACTTGTTATAAAAGAGACAGCATTTTTTCGACATAGGCTTGTACCCACATAAGAGTGTTAAAGCCTATAGCCATACTACTTCACTGTCAGAACACACTGAGGTGACAGTCGAGGGTGGATTTTGAAGGACATTTTTTTTATCACTGCAGCTTAAAAAGACTAATTCTATTGAGAAATGAACTGTATTCTTAATGTAATTATATTTTTAGTTGAGACCTGGCATATATGCTTCAAAGGAAGCAAGACTATAGTTACATATTTAATTAAAAACATGACAATGATATACATTTAATAAGTAATAGACAGTATAATAATAGTAACAGTGTGTGTGTGTGTGTGTGTGTGTGACAGAGACGGTGTATGTTTGATGTGTTTAAAGAGAGGAAATGAGTGAAACACTGACAGACACAAGTGAAAACAGCCTCAGCCGGTCCAATTTGTGTGTCACCCCACTGCAAGAACATAACCCTGCCCAGTTGGCATGTTTGCCACAATGATCTGACCATCCCCAAAACCCAAAAAAAAACCAGGACAGACTGACAACAGGAGGTCATTAGTGAGACAGTATCTGCCTCTATTGCACCCTGCCATCGCCCGCTATTTACAACTCCTGGGACAAACCAAGAATAACCGAAAGCACCAGATGTGATTGTGACTTTTAACAGCATCCTGCTTTTTTTTCTTTTCTGTTCCTCTCTCTCCCTCAAACACACTCCATCTCCTCTTCCTCACATCGGCTTTTCACTTCACACCTTTCACTGAATTACTCCCTAAAACTTCCTGGGTGAGAAACTGTGTCGCAGCTCTGGTAGGTTTCGCCTTGGAGTAATGGCCCCTCAGAGATACTACATTGTCCCTGAAATTCTTTGACTGGCAACCCAGCAACTTCTGTCAAAAGCTGAAATACATTTGGTCCGACTTTGAACAAAGTCTTTGGCGGAGTCTGTGTTTGGAATGGCTTCAAGTAGAGCTTTAAATGGCTTCAAGACCTGAGGCGTGCACGATTTGTTAAGCCTGGAACAGCATTAATTCTTGAGGCTTTTAAAAGGAATACAGCCTTTTTCCTATTTTTTTTAAAAACAATTTTGAATAGAGCTCAATGATGTTTGTGTCTTCAACCAAAGAGAGAAAAGGAAGGAGTGAGGGTTCATTAAAATGTGGAGGATGGTCACTGTGTAAGACAGAGTGGGAGCCAGAGATAACGAACATAAAATCTCCTCAGCCATAATGCCACGTCAGCTGTTTATCCACCATAAACAACTTTGCTCAGATAATAAGCCTGACATCTTCACTATTTCAGCTGAAGGTCATGCAAATGTTGCGTCTGGTCTCGTGTTGTCCTTGATGATAGAGAGGCGTAATGGCTGTGGCAGGGGTAAGGTGCCCTGAACCATTTGCAGAGCAGAAGCACTGAAAGGTGCATCTAAATTTGCGACAGCACACTTCTACTTCTCTCAAAATTGAGTGCATTTAAGTGGGAGTGGAAAACAATCTGTCACAACATGGACATGACTGCGAGTTGCCCTCTCAAGCTGGCTCATAATAGGGACTGGATCAGAAAAGCAACAACAGGTGAACTGAATTTTTGGACATGCAATCAGAAATCAGTTCCAGTAGTGTTCAGTGGATTTCTTGAACATACAATTTCACTCCGTCAAAAGGTTTCTTCAGGGCTCAAATTGCAGATACCGACATGAGAGTTTGGGATTTTATTTCTATATATTACACAAATAACCAAAATAATTTAATCCAGTAGACCTACAACGCTAAAAAACTGAAAGAAAAGAAAAAAAGAAAACATTTTAATGTCTTTTTTTTTTTTATTATTTCATTAGTGTATAATCACCTGAATATAGGAAAAAGTTAAAGTTAGTTAGAGTAAGCCTTTTTATATCTACAGACCCTCCATGGAGTCCGCCATGTTTAATATTTTTTAATATTCATTTGAAAGAAACCTCTATCTTCTATTTGTAATTCCACATAATTACAAGAGGCAATAGCAAAACCACATCTGGCAAAACGGATATATATAATTCTTATGACGTTTGTTCCGTAAATAATCAAGATGAAGTTTTTTTAAAGCTTTGTGTGGTTTCTGGCGGCCCCTGTGGACAAAAGTGGTAGTGTTTCCACTGCATCGTGTTGGTCACATGTAGGTCATATAGAGGCATCAGTATTAAATTGAGAGTTTCCTAACCAGTTAAAAACTCTTTGTAGTACCTTATTTAAGTAAACAAAATGGACAAGAAAGCTAGATAGATGCATTCTGTGAAGGTTAACCAAATTTAATGTTTTAGGTATTATATGACTTAATAAAGGCTCCTTTATGTCTGCTGCCCGTCAGCCTGAAACCTCTTATTTTGGACTTCACTACTCTTGTATTGCTGCTCTCGGCCTTTGTCGGACATAGACTAGATAGGAGCATTCAACATAGTATAGTTTAGTATTTATAGTGATAGTGAGGCTATTTGGTCAAACTAGTCCGGAGTTAGTTAGGAATTATTTTTGCTGTCGGTGCATGTCTGGTAAAAAAGTAAAATCAAGTGGAGATGTGCTAAACTGTATTCCATTTGACCTTGATTGGCTGACTGATTCACTCACTGATCAACCCTTTCAAATGTACCTTCCTACAGTACTCAAAGGGAATGGAAAAAGAACTAGAAATCCAGTGGTTTCACATGATTGAGTAGTTGCTCAACAACTTGTATCAGTCTTGATTTTTCAGATTGCCACAGTCACTTTCCAACTCCAAGCCTAAAGAGATCTTAGCGATCTTGGGGGAAAATAGGGAGCCAGAATCTCAGCTTTATAATTTAGACCCAGAGTGCTGTTTGATTTTCACACACTTATCATTGTGGTGCGAAAAGCCTTTCTTCCTTGTTGTCATCTGACCATAGGCTGCAGCTTTTCTTCGTAATCTTGCAGGAATTCGGTCGCCTTTGAGTGAGGTATACTGAGGGGCTGTGATTTCAGTGTTTGACGCACTTCATCTCATAATATGTGCTGAATGAACACCTAAAACTGTGAATGCCGCTCTGTTGTCGTGTCAGCAAGCACAATTACTTGTCCTTTAAATCGCATTTACATTATTTTCTTCATCACACTAAACCATGTACTCTTTTAACTCATATACCCTTATTCTAAAAAAACATCTGCACGCCTACTTTGGAATAAATTACTCCTTTAGTTGCTCAGTCCTGATTAGTGCACGTTCTCCACCTAAATCACGCCTAATAACCTTTATCACTTGTGTTTGCGGTGTTAATATGTTGTGTTTTTAAATGTCAGTGTTCCACAACCCCTGACACCGCCTGAAGCAACGCATAATTGCTGTGTTCTGAGTCATCTCTGAGTGGTGTGGTTGCAATGCTTGTGATGCTATCGTTCTCTTTTGGCTTTATACAATTATTACTCCTTACTGTTAGCCTCTGCTAAAGTGGCATCAGATTGTCAAATGTGTAAAAGCCACAAATAACTCAACAGAATAGAGAATGGAAGGGGGGTGGGTTGTTTGATGTGTTGATTCGGAGTTGCCTGAATCAATGAAAGCACTGGTCTTTAGCAGACTGGACCGAGCTCACACCAGCCTTCCTATCCACAATGGATCTGGCACATTAACAAATCTCCATCTCTAATCAAGGAAATATTTCCCCCTTGCCGTCCCGGCTTCATGGCCACAAGGCAGAGGAGCAGAGATGTGATGGAATAGATTCTCCGCTCAGTCGTGTTCCTAGATGTCTTTAGGGAGGAAAAAGACAGCATCAAATGCTTAATTAAATTTCCTGAAAAGATTTAGAACTAGCCCCGATTAGCCTAATCGAAGCAACGGGGGCGGCGCCGAGCCAGAGGGGGATGATGTCAACTGAAGGTGAACGATGACCTGTATGTGTCGGCCCAATCAAATCACTCAAACAGCCTTGTGCGTATGAGTTTACCTCCGGTAAGAGCACTATTTAGATGGTCTCTTTCAAATACAACCTTTTACCTGACAATATTTACTCCCTGAACCACAGCAATTACTGCTGGGTGTTTCTTAGGCTTAACACCACATCTGAAAGTGGAGATGGCTGAATAACAGCAGGATCCAAATAGGAGAGTAATACCCAAACAATTGACAGAGGGACTAATACTCTGGATTTTGAGAAAAAAGGTGCAGGGCGTCCGCAGGGTCTTAAAAAGTTCTTAAAAATTGATTGGATTAATGAAGTTAATCTTAGGTAATGTATTTTTGTATTTTGTATGCATTTTTCAGTCTTGCTTTTTGAGAAATATTTGTATCGATCATGCTGTACAACTACAAAATGAAGCCGACACAAAACCTTTTTTGCCAGTATCGACATGAAATAGGTCTTAAATTGCATTCATAGTGGTCTACAGAAACCCCGTACAAGTACACAGCCAACGGTTTGTTCACGTTTCTGTC